GGCAGTGTCTTTTTATTATTATTTTCACCTTTATAATTATATTGATACTTTTTTCAGAGAATTTATAAGCATAACTTACATTAATTTAACTTACATTAATCTATCTCTACTAACAACTATCGATATTTTGTGAATATAAAGAATTTATTTTTTAGATAATAAATTCAATTAAAACCTCCATTATTTACAATGAATTAATTATTATGGCATTATGAGCTTGCTGATTTGGAAAACAGTGTGTATGATTGTTTGCAATATATAGATTTGGTCAATAATTGTATTATAATAATTCAATAATAAAAGTATTAATTTTTACAGCAGTAAATTGTATTCTATCTCATTTCAAAATTTAATAGATAACCCCCCAAAAAATTTATCCTACCCCCATTAAAGCAGCCTACCCCTTCAAAAAAAGAGGATGCAAACTGTTCCTACCCCTCCCGCTCATGTAGACGCTGTGTACAGGCTCCCTACCATTGAATATAGAGCCAAATTTTACAATATTTATTATACTAAATTTAATATTTTAAATGAAAATTCAATTCAATCTACAAGCAACTCTCAATAAGAGATACTCAAACCTTCACTGTTTAAAGTAAAAAATTTTTGCCAATTAATTTTGGTAATTTTTATTTTAGGCCCAAATTTAATTAAGCCACTGTAATGTAATAGTAGATGCAGAGGTCATGCTCACTTCTGCTGAAAGTATAGATTTATTTTACCTTATTTATTTTGTATTTTTTAGGTGCAAATTCAATTCAGCTTACAAATGATAATAAATCAGCAGGAGAAGCAGCTATTGAAAGTTATCCTTTAAATAAACATAATTAATAAATTATCTTTGATGATGGTGATTTTCCAATAGATTTGGCAATGCTCTTTAAATTTAGTAAATGTAGTAATACCAATTACTAATTATAAACAATACGACCACTGATTTATATTTCAATTTATTTTTGATATCAAATTTTTATTGATTATTTTTCGAATGTTCGATTCTATTTTAATATACAATATCTATAAATAATCATTTATTAATTTATTACATTTCCTTCAAACAATTTAAAGTTAGATTTCTTCAATAAACCTCTTTGTAGGTTTACGGTTTCTTGATGAGCAACGTAATGTGGTATTTGTATTTGTGTTTGTATTTGCTTCATTCACTGGCACAACCATTTCTGTAACTTCCAAAGAACTTTCATGATTTGGGATAACTAAACGATTTCTTAACTGGTCTGCATGCTTCCGTAATGTTTTCCCGAAGATTCAACAATATAAGAATAAAGTCCTATTCTTTCTTTAATTACTCCCTCTCTCCAACCATTGGTATTTTCATTATTTAACCATATAGGTTGTGAGATTACAAATTCTCTTTCCTTTGAATGTAAATCATGATGAAGGCTTTGTTTATCATTGGCCCTTACTATTTCGTGTTCGGCATTTGGTCGGATCCAATCCAGACTTGTTTTTAATTGCCTCCCAAACATAATTTTAGCAGGAGATCTCCCTGTGGAACTATGCTCTCCCAATCGGTAGGTTGTTAAAACCTGTGTCATAGCTTCTTCGGGATCGCTAATTGAATCTCTTCCAAACCTAACAAACCATTTATTTAGTCGTTTTATCATAGCATCAGCAGAGGTATTCTGCATTAGATCAACTTCTAACCATGGTCTATTTTTCTGGCATCCAGAACATTTTTTTATAAAATTTTCTATATCACATCTGGGCCACCAGCAATACAATCTAAAAATAGATTTCGTTACATTTTCCCCAGGATGTCCCCGGTGAATCATTCCTAACACTGCATTTCTTACTTTATTAGGAATACCAATCTCCCATTCCATTCTATAATATTACGATTGACAGAAAGCTCTTCCCGTCGATTATAAAAATTAACTATTTCTTTATCTCTATGACGATCAAAGTTTCGCCAACTTTGCTAAATATGTATTGCTACTTTTTTTAATATTAAATCTTGCTTCGACTCTTTTCGCAGAATATTTTCTGACAATTGCATATCATTCAAATTAATACTTCGAATATCCAAAGCATGTTTAGAATCTTGATTCTCTTCCGAAATTTCTTGGTGTTTATTAATCAAATCTCGAATTCTAGAATCTAGTGTTATGCAACATTTTTCTTTTTCAATATTGCTGACCAAATTGCGTACTTGTTTAATCATAACCTGACGAGGCATTTCTAAATTGAATGCTATAATCCATGGTAATCCGAAAAGAGGCACCCCAGTTGTATTCATTATTATTACTGGTAGAGTCCTTGTCTGTGATCCAATCCTAACATTGACTTGGGTCTCGCCCTTAACGTCTAACGGATGATCACCATATGCAGTCAATGGACAGGTTGGCCTAATTTTTGGTCGCCCAATACTTGTCCATATATCAATTCCTATCAATGACGCTTGTGCACCAGTGTCAAAATTAAATTTAACATCTAACCCATTTATCTCTGCAGTTAGTTTTGCTCGATTCTCTCGATTTTGTTGAATCTTCCAAATATTATGAATAGAATCACTTGATGACACTCTTATATAATTTAAATTCTTTGATTTACAGCAAACTGCAAAATGACCAATTTTTTTACATTTATTACATGCCGCATTTGTAACTGGACATCTCACTTCTCGGTTATGAATAAAACCACATTTATAACATTTAAGTTTATTATAATCTTTATCATTATTATATTTGTATTTATTATTCTCTTTATCAAATGTATTATTATACTTGACTAGCCTTTATCAAATGTAGTCGTCGTTTTAATTGGATGTTTATAATTATTATCATTTATCTTATTAACAACAGGCATATTTTTATTTGCCATTTCTTTATCTGCTCGCTCAGAAGCTAATGCCAGATCAAGAATAAATTGAAAAGTCAGTACATTATTATCTCTATCAAGACCGTCGAGATATAGAGCTCTAAGATCTCTTTCCAATCCCGGTATTTCCATGTCAACCATAAACTGATCACGTAAACGCTCGTCAATATCATTAAGATAATGACAACGCTTGCCAATTGTTTTAATTTTATCTGCAAATTCAGTTATGGTTTCAGTTTTTCTCCGTAATCTAACGAAATCAAATCTAGAAGCAAAAGCTGTTGACGTCGGTTTAAATAGTTTAAAACATATTGACTTAATTTCCTCAAAAGATAAAGTTTCGATCGAATCAGGATAACAAAAACGGTCCACCAACTCAATATTCTTATTGCCAAAAAATGTTAAAAATATATCTTTATATTGACATTCAGATGGGCTAGCATGTTTAGGATAAAAATGATTCATATTATATTAGGGACATTATGTAATAAAAATTGTGAAAAAATTAATAACATATTTATTGCTCTAGAGGTAATTTTGCAAAAATAATTTTTATAATATATTTAAAAAATCTATTAATAATTAAAAATATAATATTTTTTATTTATGAAAATTTTAGTGGGGGAACATTTATATATTTTTTCGCTATTCTGCTTTTCGCTGTATCGTACCTAATTCGAGGATCTATTCCTTTTAAAGTTCAGGTATAATCTTGTTCATGTAATAATTATGTTTGATATAAATTTTCGTTACTTTTTTAAAATGAAATTTTGTGGCTTTTGTTATAATTTCTCAATAATTTATTTACAAGAGGGTAGGAGCGCTGTAATTTGTGATTATCTATGTATATGAATATAACTAAAAATATTAAAGGCCAATGGATATGTTTTTACCTATCTTCTTAAACCTGCTTATATTTTATGCATTGGCTAGGTGGGGTAAAATATTTTTAAAGCAGTTAAATAGGTAAATCCAATCATAATCCTTAAATATTGGGTAAGTAAGCCAAACATAATTTTTAAACAAATGGGTGGTATTTTTAGACAGATTTTGTTGAATTTGGGAGTTAGAAACTAACCTATTGCAGATCATACATCTAATTTGCATATTTTCGTTTTTTTTTATCAGACAAATTAAAATATTTTTTGTTTATTTTATTCTCTTTTAAGAGTCAGTCTAGGCTGTGAAAATTTTTTATCAGGGTTTTGGCTTTAAGCCTGTAATTGTCCAGCCCAGCCTTAAAATATATTTTATAAGTTGTCAGCATGTCCCTTAATAATTCTTTTGAGAAAAATAGCATTAAATTTTTTTTTTAAACCTTTCCCTGATTCTAACCCATAAATATATTTAATATAGTCTGATCCAGGCTAAAAATCTCTTTTTCCTTGGCTCGTTATGTCACCAATCCTTTTGTTTTATTTTTTTTGATATGTACTCTCAACCTGAAACCAGGCTGGAAATGATCACAAAAACAATATATTATAAAAGTCAAGGCTGGGGAAAAGGGGGGGGGGAGTGGGTGTAATTTAAGAAAATAGAAATCTAGGCTAGGTTCTATAAAATTAATTAGTTGAAAAATAATATAATGGAATATTTAACAATCATTTACTGATAATTTCAATTTCTCCTTCAAATAATTTGATAATTTGTAAAATTATGAAATAATAATATTTAAAAAATTCTGAATTAGACCATGAAATGATCATAAATAAAAATCTAGTTATATATTGAGCTTTTAAATGATAATTCTTTTTAAAATATGGGCCAAGCCTAAAATTTTCTCTGCAGATCTTTGGTGTAAATAAATGTTATAACAAATTAATATAAATGATTATATAGTTTAAAATATTACAAATACAAGATAAATCTTGTGATAGGCAAAAAAAAAGAAGTTTTTAACAATAATATTTGGTGTGATTATTTAAAATTAAAGATATAATGTTATAAATTTTATTATACTTAAATCATCAATACTTGATCACACCTCGACAAAGGTAAGAGCACTATATAATGAAAAACAAAACAGCATTGGGAATCTTGCTTATATCTTCCTAGAAAATTTTTAAACTAAATTTGAAATTGATATTAATAGATGCTAGAGAAGTAATACATCTATTTAAATTAAGAATTTAAATTTCCAAAAATAGACACAAAGATGACATTTTCGAGATTCCCAATTTTTCACAGCTTTCTACCCAATTCCTCGTCAAATATTGTAGATAAAAACTCTTCTCTGTTTTCAAACTTCATGGGATTTTGCATCTTCAACCTACTCACTTGGAGACTAAACAGGTTTACATGCCTTTACACCTTACTGAATTGAATTAACAAAGAAAAAATTTATATAAAATTGTCCTAAAAAAAATACAAAATAATACAAATTGCCTTTTTTATTTTCTTAAAAATAAATAAATTACATCAATACTCAACAATAAATTTTCTTCTGGATTCATTTTTTTAAAAAAATTATTTTATAGAACAAAATTTAAAATTTTTACAATCAAGGATTTACAATATTTTAATTCCTTATATAATTTTAATGTATTTAATTTATTAGAGATCCAAAATATCAAAAAATTTCATTTCACAAACTTATGAAACTTTATCGAAAACCCATTTTTAGTATGAAATAAAATTTTGCACATAGCCTTAATAAATAATATAAATTATGTTTATTTTAATAGACTGGAAGTTCAATTGAAAACTTTCTCTTGCTAAATGCATATAGCAGTTGCTATAGCTGTGATAATATGCTGCAGTTACTCTAAGACATCAAACTATGTCAATTCACATATCAGTAAAGATGATCAAATAATTAGAAATTTAGTATTAACTATTATATCACCATTATCATACAACACTCATCTGAATAATATATCAATTTCATCCTCTTCAAATAAATACTATGATACATTACAACAAAGTATATCTTCAGCATGCTATAAAACACTGTTAAGCTATGGGAGTTTACTAGAATCAAAGGAACCCGATGGATTTTCACTTAGGATTTTAAAGGATATGATTGATTTTTCCGGAAAGTTTCCATCTATTTCCATAACATCAGGCAACATAATCTCCTTAGGATCTTTTGATGATTGCATATCTCTTCACCCCAAATATCTGACTTACTCTTTAACATTTATAGATGCTAGCATATTCAATCCTGCCTTAACTAACGCCTTCGAGGCTTACAAAAATAAATTACCTTTATTGTTATGGATGCCTGGTGCCACCTACCAGGTTGGATGGTGCTTGCCAGCCAGTTGCGATCAATTTGACGTGAAAGCTATAGCAGAAATTGCCGTTTTGCAAGTAATATACAGTGATTCATTCAAATTATTTACGCCATATTATTTAGGAAACGTGTCAGATATGGGCAAAATTTTGAAAACCGTATCGGTCTATAAAATTATTACTCACACCCAAGATTTGACCTTGCAGCTTGTTCCCGAAAATGTGAACCGCGCCGCTGGCTATTCCTCGTGGCTTAAAGGTAAACATCAAAAATACGTAAAGAGAAGGTCACGGGATTTGATATTTGGGGTCGCGTTTTTCTCTATTTTTGGCGCCATTTTGTTGTTTATTTACTTGAAGGAGAGAAGAGATTTTGTTACGAATCTACATTCCAAGCCTCGTTCCGCCTCGCGAGGAAATAATTTTTTTCGCGCCCTTCCAACTCTCTCGCAATGCTTTTCCCCTCGTCAAAACTTACTCAAAATATTGCGTGGCGGGCCTTCTTATATTAATAGTAATAATGTTTCAAACTCGCCTGATTCTGCCTCTTCCAATAGTACGCACCCGAGCCAACCCCTCGGCAACGGTTATAACTATGAATCTGCCCGTGGCATCGTCAAAACTTCCCAAAATGTCATCAAGTCACCTCTGACTTTTCTGACAGGCGTGAGGGCCCTCAGTACGTTGCACGTGATGTATGGCCATACCTATGTCTTTTCTCTATTCTTCGTCTCCAACTTCGAACACGTTATGAAAGGTATGAAGGGTCGCTTTTACCATCACAGTTTCGGCCATTTGAATAGTAGCCTTATCACTCCCACGGATGCGGGAAAAAATATTCTCCCGCGTGATCATGACGACAATGATCCCATCCTAAATTTAAACCGTTTCGATTCATTTTTCGTATTCATGTACTGCGCGTTTTTCGCCGTCGACTCCTTTTTTTTATTTTCTGGCCTTTTGAGCTCGGCGTTCACCCCGATACTATCCCAATTATCGAAACACGCAAATCAAATCACCCTTAATAACCTGATTCGATCTTATCCGGCCCCTTTGATATACCGTTATATCCGACTTACGCCGGTTTACGCCGCGGTTTTGGTTTTCGAAATATTCGTGTCCCCTTACATCGGTAACGGCCCCTATTGGGCCTCCGAAGGCGTTGATCCGGATTGCCGGTCCCTCTGGTGGACCAACTTAGCCTACGTTAATAATTATTTCACTACCGGTCACCGCACCGCATCCGGGAAATTGGACGGGAAGGTTAGAATGTGCATGCCTTGGGCCTGGTATCTCGCCTGCGATTTTCAGTTTCACCTCGTGAGCCCCCTCATAATTTTCGCGCTAATCAAATTCTCCGCTCCGGCTAGTTCCCAAAAAAGGGGAAAAGGACTCAAGCTTAATTTAAAACGGTTGGGAATAATTTCGGCTTGCTTTATAGGACTCCTCGTGGCGCTCTCCTTCTGTATCAGCTACTATAACCGTTACAAGTTTAGTATTTTTTTTTTCGTCACCTTAGATACTATCCTCCTCCCTTAATGAAGAATTCATCTTTTAATTAAACCTCAGTGATAAAGTTACCACGAACCTTCAAAGTATTATTAAACAAAGAAAGTAGGGGGCAGGCAGATTAGTTCTATCTCCCTGTAAATATCCCTCGTTTTCTTTACAATCGTATATAATATAAGATATATAAATTAATTTGATAAAATCAATAGAGGATTCCTTCTAATTTTTATATATAAATCATCCAACTAAATTTTCCCCAAATATATCTAATTTTAAAAATAGATATTTTCGTTTATTCAAATGATTTACGAGAATTTTTTTTTTAAAAAAAAATTTAAAATATTTGTTATTTATTTAACCTAAATAAAGTGGGGTTTGGTAAACAAGAAAATGATTTTAATGGCTCGTCTTATTTTTCTGTTTGGAACAGTCTATTGAGTTTTAGAACTGACGGCCCTAACAGATTTCTGTTAGAAATAAGACTAATCAGGAATTTTAGTTGGGAGGTTGATGGTTAAACGTTGGCTTTTTCCCAGCTCAATCTACGTATACCTGCCCGGAGAAAATCCGCGAACGTTTTAATTTGTGTTTTTTAGTTTCTCTCAAATTTGAGTTCGCTAAAATCGTTAATAAAAAACCTCCGCGGCCAAAGTGATAGTTTAGCCGGCTATAACTGGGTTTAAATCATAGTAATTACCCAACCTTAGTCAGGGCAAGGTCTTATTGATTGATCGCTTTACAAGATATTTTATCTACGTAATCTGCCTATTCTTACGATTTAACTTTCTTCTTTCAGGGGTTATGCGCTCATCCACAATTTTTTAAAATGTATGTATTTTTTTTTGGCATTTTAGATTACGGAATACGGAATTTTTAAATATTTTAATTCGTGATACTTAAAGCCACTACAAGGATTTTAGTATAAAATAATTAAAACATGAGTGTTTTTATTTAAAAATAAAATATCACGTTTTTTTTAAAAAAAAACTTAACAAATTTAAGTTATTTTATTATTTTTTTTCTATTTGGAAGAATTTATTGTAAAGATTTAATATTAATACTAATCATTTTTTAAAAAGTCTATAAAAATATGAATTTTTTTTTCTTCTTTCAGAAAAGTCAGGTGATTGATGACCAATCAAATCACGAGGAGACTTTTAAACTAGTTTCATCATGAAGAGCCTTTTATATAAGTTTTCCCTTCGATTTCTTTGTATGATATTATTTTGCAAATGACATTGCCGAGTTAGTTGGACATAAGTCGAAAATTTATTCTCCGCCATTTTTTTCGATGATGTCTATATTAAGGCAGGAAGATAAATAGGAGAAGATTAGTTATCAGTTAAAGATAAGTCATCTGGACGGTTCTAAGCCTCCCAGACCCCTCCATTAGATAAGGGATTCTAGAGACTACCTTAATTTTTTGGTATCCATATTCTGCTTTTTTTTGTAGAGATAAAGAGCCTAGGTTTTTTTCTATTTTGTCTAGTGGAAAGATCGAATATCTTATTTTTTTATCGATATAAGCATCTTAAATTTGTTTAAATTGGCTCGGGAAGGCCCCTCGGCAGGTTGATTAATGTTATTGTCTCCCGGACCGATCATAATCAACCGATTGACCTACCCTTTTTTAACCGACGGACGGAAAGTTTTAAAGGCTCGTGACGCTAATTCCAGCTCGGACAAGATTCGATACTACTTTTCCTCTCTCCTGGAATGTAGGGGAAAAACAATTTAATATATTCGCATCGTATTAGTGTTAGGCCACCCTTGGGAACTTTAAAACAAATGTGAGAAGAGAAGCCATCCGAGAAATATTTATTTTACCTCTCATTTAAAACGGTCAAAAAAAAGAAAGAGGCAACGCTAAAACATATCTGCGAAAAACGCTGTTGAACCGCTGTAAATAGAAACGTAAAAAAATCTATGCTCGGGTGAGTTCTATTCTAAATGATAAGAAGTAAGAAGTTCGATAGATTATCTCAAGATCAATATATAAAGATAATCTAAATCCTAAACAGATTCAGGTTAAGAACCCCCCTTCCCCCCCCCCTTCAACATCTTTCTGACATGCCCCATCCATTATATATATCGGAGACCTTGTTCAGAGGTACCATTTGCACAATCCGTTTGTAAAATAAATTTTCGGCCCGACCCAGGTATTTTTTCTTAAAAACAAATATTTGGGGCTGTGGTATATTGTATAAAAAATTCGAATATGCCCCGGTCCGTGTATCCGGGTTTAGGGCCGGGCCTGCAGGCCTCTGATTTACATATATATATATTAAGAATTATTACGTATTTTTTTTTTGAAAAAAAAAATCTATTTTTTCAGAGTATTGGTATTTATCGATAACACCAATACGATGAAGTTTTTCGCTGAATTCTACATCCGCCCCTACATTCGAATTCCGCCCTTTTTCTTGGGCCTCTTACTTGGGTGTTACCTAAAATTACGGGCGTCCGCGGATAATAAAGATGACCAATGTTCTACCAGCCATGATATCGTCGACAAAACTAGCGATAACGCGCCAAACGTAAATCCCCTCGCCTCAAAATCCCGTTCCGTATTCCGACCTTATATAATCGTCGCCTTCCTGACCCTGGTAGCCGCCGTATCCGCCAAATTGTACGGACTTTTCCCGAATTTCGACCGCTACTACAAATCCTCCATCTTCCGGCCCGGGCGATGGGATGCATTCCGATCATCGCCGCAATTTCCGGAAGTAATGGAGGCGTTATTTTTATCGCTCTCCCGATTCTTGTGGCCACTTTTATTGATACTATTTTTGGCCTTCATGATTCTTGACTGGCCCGATGACCCCCCTTTCAAATGTGTCGCCGGAACGATGCGTCTAGTCAAGCGCGGTTTGAACTCATTCCTCAGCCACGAGGCCTGGATCCCCGTGAGCAACCTCAGCTATTCGGCCTACCTCATCCATCCCGTGATTATGCTGATACATCTCAGGACCCTGAGATACCCACTTTACTTTTCCCACACCAATTTTTTCGTTCATTTCGTGTTTTACTCCGTGGCCACTTTCGCCACCTCACTGTTTTTTTCGCTGGCCTTTGAGTTACCCTTCATTAACCTGGCTAAGATAGTTTTTCAACGACTGAATTGATACGCTACTTCTTTATTTTTGAAAAATGCAAATAATCCTTTTACTTCCGGTCATCGTTTACTCCACCCTTAAGTCAAAATTTTTAATCAAACCTTTTTGTTTCAACTCAATTATGGACGTCATAAAATTCATGATGTAATATATTACAATGCATTTTTTTAAAAAATTTTTATGCATTAAATAATCATTGATTTTCCTAAATTTGTTATTAATTTTAATTTATTTTTGCTCAATCAATTTACTTATTTTATTTTTTTTTAAAAAAAAAAGAAAAGATTATATGTTAATACTTGTTCAGAAATCTGCAGAAAGTTCTTAGACCCACACCCCCCCCCCCCCGAATTTTTTAAAATTTCGCTATATAAATTAGAGATCTGCGAAAGTAGGCTCGACCCGGCAAAACAAAACCGGGTTCGGGCTTGGTCGGGCCTTGGAAAATTTTTTAAAAAAAATATATCTATTTAAATTTATCAATTTTTATGAATTTTTTTATGTAAAAATATAAAAAATATTCGATTTTATTTATACAAACTAGACGCCATATGACACATATCTTAAAAAAAAATTAATTTCTATAATTCGGATAAATTTGGGCCGGGCCGGCAAGACTTTTTAAAAACCGGGCTGGGTCGGGCCGGGTTTGAAAAATTAGGCCCGATGCAGATCACTAATATTAGTATGGCAAATGAATGTAAAATAATTTATTATACAATTTTTAAAAAATAAAATTCTTGCGCATGCCTGCTGCTATTTTTGTAAATAAAATATTTTATCCCTTGGGCTTGTATTTAATTTTTCAAACCTCGCCATTTTTTTTTTTTTAAATTAGTGGTTTTTGATTTTTATATTTTATAAAATGAGTATATTTATTATTTATATAAAAAAAAAATTAAAGATATATTAAACATTATTATATCCTAATCACTGACATGACAACCCAATATATTTAAGGAAAATGAAAAAATTTTTTAATTTATAGAAAAAAATTATATTTATAAATGCGCTATTAAGGTTATAATATATATATTTTTTTTACCTTGTAGTGTTTGTATATTTTTAAATGTAAATCATGAATGTAAAATTATTCCATGTTATATTATTACATAAATTTATATTATTTATTAATTATATTATATATTTGCAAAAATAATAAAATTTTCTTTCTAAATTGTATCTTATTAAATTGATATGATAATGACCATTTCTTCACTTTAAAATAGTTCATATAATATTTATTGTCTAATGTTTTTATTTCTTTTTTGAGTTTAACCATCGCCAATTGATTAATTTTAATAGCGGTGATCACCATAAGAATAATCCTTGTATTGTGATTGGACCATTATTAGGAGCTCCCTTGTTTATGGATTTTAATAGCTGGGAACTGTTAAAAATGAGTGATTACCCCATTTGAATAATCCTTGTTTTGTGATTGGACCATTTTAGGCCCTCCCAAATTTTGTTTATTGATTTTAATAGATGGGAACTGTGTTATAAATGGGTGATTACCATTAGGATAATCCTGTATTGTGATTGGACCATTTTAGGCCCTCCCAAATTTTGTTTATTGATTTTAATAGATGGGAACTGTGTTATAAATGGGTGATTACCATTAGGATAATCCTGTATTGTGATTGGACCATTGTAAGGGCTCCCAAATTTTGCTTATTGATCTTAATTTCCTTTCAAACGGTAGGTAAATTTAATTTTTGCCCCTAGGGTTCAGAAATCTTACCATGGGGGGCTTACTTATTTATTAATCTCTGCTATATCAATTTTACTATTAATAAGTATTAACCGCGTAAAAAAATAAATAAATGATTAATCATATTTCTGGAAGTGAGCTAAAAACTATTCGTAAAAATCATCTTAATAATTATAAAATATCATCTAATATTATAAAAATAAATTTAAAATATCATTTAACATTATAAAAATATTTAAAATATCATTTAATATTATAAAATAAATTTAAAATATATTATTTTTTAATGTGGGATATGTGGAATATAGATTCATTTTAAAAAAATAATAATATAAAATTATCACAACTTCCAAGGCTAACGTCAATCAATTTTTTTTATATGCATCAACAACGACACCGATTAAACTTATATATTGTTTTATTTATTTTTTTAAAATAAACCACATCATATTAATTAGTAGAATGACTAGATACAACAATTAGCGTTGTCAGGAAGAGGGATGCAGAGTTCAAGTTGCATTAGAATCTCTAGACCGGCAATTTTTTAGGATAGCTTTAGTTAAGGAACTGTAAAATGACTAGGTAACAAGTAGCGTCGTTAGAGGTAGGGGCGTATAGGGACTCGAGATCCGCTGAAACCTTTAGGTAGTAAAGTACCCTCTGATACTATTTTTTTGCAAATTTTAGGTTATAATTACTTTTTTTTAAAAAAAATGCCAATTAATAAACGTTCAATATACATTGGTTGTACCTTCCGTTTTCTATATTTCTCGCGGTTCTTTAGGATTCAGGTTCTAACTTGTTTAAGATACATAAAAATAATTTTCTTATTAGGGGTTTTATTATAAACCCTGCATGATGCAATAGAAAGAAAGAAAGTATGCTTAGAAAATAAAAGGATTTATTCTTATTCTTAATGTAATTTAAATAATAAAACCGTGTTTTTGTCCGGCAATGTGTCATTTTTTCAACTTTAAATCATTTTTTGAGCGCGTTTTTAAAAATTTAAAAATCTCATTTTATCAGAAATACATTCCGTCATGTTTGGAATAACTTATCTTATGAATTATAGACAATTTTTGCTATTATCCCTTTGAGCCATATATAATTAATTATAAAAAATTTATGGATAATCTTTACATTTTTCTCAAATTGATTGGCAAAGTTAATTGAGATTTTATTTTTATTGATTTGTGCATATAATTATAAATCAATATTATTATTTATAAGGTTAAGAAAAAAAAATATACGATAATATTGTTTATGAAAAACATTCCGATGTGGTGTGTTGTAGTTATAATTTGAAAGATTATTTTATAATAAGCATTATTTAAATATTTATAAATGATATAGATATATATATAAAGTTTATTTTATCCTTGTTTACTTGTCCCAAATACAGATTTTGAAATCAAAAAAAAAATAAAATTTTTATGTACAATAATTAATGCAAACCGTTCGAATTTTATTAAATTTACGGCAAAATAAATAATTCATTTAAAAATAATCGTATATTGTTATATTATTATTTATTTTTTTTTCGAAGTGGTTTTAAATTTCGTTTAAGAGCAGGTCCATCTCCGAATCCCTCTCCTTCACAGCTGTTTATTTTGTATCGTATCTTTCAACTTTTTCCGTTCTGTTAAACGATGCAATGTTACGGAGCGAGCAAATGGGCAGGCGGGGCGATGCGGAAATGAAGAGTTAAATATAATATTTAAAAAAAAATGAAATAAATAATAAAATGAGTACAGATGTTCAAAAAAAAACCCGTCTTCCATTTCAGTTTAAACGGATCAGTACTAGGTTTGACCCTTAATTTTAGCCTAGCTCTAGTCAGCGATAGTTTACTAATTATAAAGGAAATAATGCAGATAAATGAACCTTCATTATAACTGGATAATATCAACTGATAAACTAACAAGAAGATGGTGTTAAGCCATGTAAACCAGGGAAATGGGAGATGTAGAAAAAAGTATAAATTCCTGAAGTTAAGATATTTTTTACCTGAACTGATTTGATCATCGATTTGACATCCATGTCAAGTATATCATTTTCGGATTCTACATTCAGACCGAAACCACATTCTACTTCCCCTTTGTCATTCGAGGCTTTACAGATGTACAGCCCTAAAAAATATATATTAAATTTTATAAGATTTGATAAGAGTGTAGAATGATTAAATAGGCATTTGTAATTTAAATATATTAATGAGTGTTATTATGCCATCCTTGTGAACCACTGGGCAAGGGAATGGTGTGTTAACTAGATTATTGAGTAGGTCAGAGCCTGATCCACTATAAGTCAAGGCCGTAAGAACTAGAACTGTAGGGATTTAACTTCCAACCCGAAAATTGGTTACTGCATATGACATTAAATATAATATATATATATATATATATACCTATATCAGAAGGACTGGAGTTCAATATTTCTAAGAAGTATTCATTGCCAGATTTATCTAGAACATATCGGTCGCTGTTCAATTCAACGCCATCTTTAGACCAAACAACTAGAATTATATATAAAAAATAAATGGAATTAATACGTTTTAAAAAATTTTTATTCATTACCATTAGCTTCTTGATTAAGTTCCGTGCTGAATAAGGCGGGTTGATTTTCTTCGACTGTATAGGTTTGAGGGAATGTGATAAATAGAGGCCCTGAAACGTCTTCGTCTAAAGCTATAGAGGGGTAAGAGCAAATATTTATTAAGATGTATTTTATTAAATGGCAGACCTTTGACGAAGAGTGACATGAAGCTAGCCGTTTCACCGAGCGGGTTGAAGGCTTCGCAACTCATGATCCCAGAATCCTGGGGGAATACCTCGCTGATTATCATGCGATAAACATCGTTCTCTTGCTGGAATTTGAAGTAAACTCCTTCCCTGAGTTCCTTGTCATCTTTCAACCAAGACACTTCTGGTTTGGGATTGCCTGAGATGGGAAAATAAAATTAAATCATTAAACGTTCCTTTTAACGATTCGGATCGGGTCCTAAAATAAATCAAACCTGGATCGAAACCGGTAGGTAAAATTAATCAAAAAAAAAGGGCATATAAGAAAAACGATAGGTTACCGACAACACGGCATTCAATGGTCACTTTTTGGCCATCCTGGACGTATTTGCTTTGTAAATGCATCGTGAATTTTGGGCGAGATTCAAGCATCATCGAGACGGACGGCTCTTCGGTGAAAGTTCTCTCGTCATTGGTATAACCTTAAAAAAAGGAGAAATTCAATGGCAAAATATGATACAATATTTCATCACGCCGAAATATTTTGATACCAAAAAGGAGAAAATAAACAATTTTTTATAAGATTTTTTTTAAAGGTGCGCCAATACTTTCAACTTTGAGATAGGAGGAAGTTTCGGTAGTTCCGGAGGAATTTGTGGCGGAACATACGTACGTGCCTTCATCTTCCGGGAATATTTCTACGATTCCCAGCGTGCAGACACCTTGTTTGCATTGTATATCTATGATGTCGGAATCGCGTAATTCCTAATAAAAGTTACATAAAGGATTTTTTTGACTATATGGGTTAACTTGAAAGAAAGAAAAGTATTAGCGATGCGAGAATAAATTAATTAGCTACGTTTCGATAAATTTTTCCAATTTTTTTCACTTTGTTGTCCTTTTTCCACGTGATGGTAGGAGGGGGGTATCCGGTGACTTGGCAAGTGAATAAAACGGTTTCACCGTCCGTCACGACTAGATCCCTTAAAGGTTCGATAAATTCTGGCGTTGTGTTAGTAGGAGACGCTTTTGATGATTTTTTCTCGGCGCGTTCGACGGCATGTTCGGTCGTTTTTCGGGATTTTGGTTTGTCTTCTATATATTTTTTTTAAAAAAAAATAAATAAGTGTTTACAAGTTTTATTAAAGAAGTACATTTAAATATATTCTAAAGTTTTGGCGGGGGAATGGCAACGTCTTTTAGCGGCTAATGGAGGTCTAAAGGGTTCCCAGAGGTCTGGATCTAGAATAGGATCACCGTCTCCTCGACGGGTGGGGGTTAAAAAACCACCTAAAGGGAGTTGTGTCAGGAAGAGCATCCGATCGTAAAAACCTTGCTACAAAATTTCCTATGATTAAATCAGAGGGAAAACTGGCCAACCTGGAAATCGCCATTAAACGGAAAGAAGAAGAAGATAATATACATGTAATATTCTCTTCAATTTCATTTTTTTACCCTTTGAGAGGCGACATCCGTCACTCACGAAAATTCGATATATATAATAATTTACATTTTCTTTATAAAAAATATATAATTTTATTTAGCAAAATATTTACTCCAACATATACTAACTAAAATATTAGGATCTTAAGTCAAAAGTCGAGATCGTATACTTAAATAGGATAAATACGCTTCGAGTTCAGATGGAAATTTTGAACACAGTAAGTATCTATTTTGTTTTTGGTTTTTATAAATTATAATACCTTCACGGATTGAAATTCTTGGTCTTTCCTTGATAGGGGAGGGTAATTTAAGGTCGTCGGAACCTCTCCTTTCGCTGTATTTGCTATAAGATCTTCTCATGCTGGGGGTCTCTGATCCGAAAGAGGTGTAACTACCTTGCCTTTCTTTCACCACCGAAATCCTTGGTTCTTTCAAGAACTTGGCCCATCTTCGCTCTACAATGGAATATTTGAACAATGAAAATAAGGTATATACATATATATATATTTTTTTTAAAAATTATTTTATTTTATCTTATCTTTAAACTTTAAAAAAATCGTTCGTTATTACAGATGAACTACAAAGAAGGAAGGATGGAAGGAAGGAAGGAAGGAAATGGTTTTATATACCTTCAACTATAACACTGCATAGGGTTTCAGCTTCGCCCAATTCGTTATTAGCAGTGCAGGTATATTTACCAGCATCTTGGAGCGTAGCTCCCGAAACTTCTAATGAGCATACTCCGTAAAGCTGTTTTATATTGGTGTGCCAGGAATCCTCTAAAACCCTGCCGTTTAATCTCCATTCAACCTATTATTTTTAAATCAAAAAATGAAAAATAATCTTCTTGGGATGATAAAGGTTTAAAAAAATATAAAAATATGGAAGTAAAAGGTGGTTAATTTTTACGTGAGGAATAGGATTTCCGATTAGACTGCACAGAAGTTTGAAATCTTGAGTTTCCTGGACGATACGCGGTCTGAGACCGAAACTGAATCTAGGGGGTATTTGTTCTTCTTTGAAGGAAGGAACCTGGAATTCCGATTGACGTTTCTTGTGATATTCATCGGCGATAAAGGAGGCGTCTACGAATTTGCTAGAAGTCCTCTCGGGTGTTTCTTAGGGGGTACGGAAAAAAAAAATATTACAAAATTTATGTCATGTGACATTTTTAATTAATATTTACTGCACATTCCAATAAATTTTACCGCTCTTCACATACTGAAAACATTATGTTTTACCAAGTCATTATAAAAAAAAATCGTATAATAAATATAAGGCGTAAAAATTATAATAATAAAATTATTTAATGTCACAAGGAAAATAATATCTATTTTTTTTTAAAAAAAAGCCCTAAGATTTTATAAGAAAAAGCTATATTTAAATAAAATAATGAACATATTGTTTGAAATAGATGCTTAATTATTAGGAGAAATTAGATACTAATTTAAAAAGAAATTGGGTACTAATTTAAAAAGAAATAGTAGATTTTAAAAAAAAAGGATGTTTTACTAATTCCATTTCATAAGGAATAATGCCTGTGTAAATTGGATTATTAATCCGGCCGTCAATCTAAATAGAAAATGCCACTCAAAGATTATTTTTTGGGATTACTTTCTACGTTCAAAAATATTGTGTGTTCGATTTTGCCATAGGTGTTAGAAGCTTTGACCGTGTATTCTCCGTGATCACCTGATTTGCATTTCTTTATCGCCAGGGAATACTCATCTCCGTGAGACTTTTTAGTGTATTTAGCGCCCTGTCTCAGCTCCATGCCTTCCCTATTCCTAATTAATAAATTTTTAATTTTCATTTCTCGTTCTTCCATTTTTCTCCCTTTTCTTTCTTCCATTCTCTCTTTTTCTTTCTTCCATTCTATTTTTTTTCTTTATCAAGATTTAATTTACAAATAAGTTTACCATGTGACGATCGGAGGGTAAGGAGAAAATATGGTGCAATCGAATAACGCTTTTTGTCGTTCTTTAACCGTCGCGTTTTTAGGTTTGACTATGAAACGCGGAGCGGCTTCTCTTCTATCTATTTTTTTTTATATTTTTCATTTTAGATTTTTTTTTTCAATATACTATATATATATATATTCCAAAATTCAACTAGTATACAAGATAACTTCATACCAACCCCAATAAAATAAAGTCTTATAAAAAAAATATTCAAAAAAGCCGGGCCAGAAAGCCCGTATCATGTTAGCGGACCGGCCGGGCTTTGATGATCTCTAGTTTATATACGTTACCGAATTCGCTGTCGTATATGTGATATTCTTCCGGTCTCAATTTGCACAAGGAGCTAAAGTTGGAGATTATTCCGATCGATGGATTCGGGTTTGGCCAAATTTCCTAAAGCAAAAATAAATTATTTACGCCATTTTTTTTGATTTAGGAAAATGAAATATCATTTTTGTTTACGTATTTTTTGCGGATTTTATCGTGTATTCCGTTGTATCTGGAATTGGGTATTCTTTCTTTGCCTTCTATCACATTCTTGAGCCAAGGATGATCCAATGCTTCGAATATTGTCATTCTTTTACTGTCATATAAAATGAAGTTGAAATATACATTTATATTTTAATTTCTTCCTTCCCTTCCCTTCCCTTCCCTTCCCTTCCCTTCCCTTCCCTTCCCTTCCCTTCCCTTCCCTTCCCTTCCCTTCCCTTCCCTTCCCTTCCCTTCCCTTCCCTTCCCTTCCCTTCCCTTCCCTTCCCTTCCTTCCCTTCCCTTCCCTTCCCTTCCCTTCCCTTCCCTTCCCTTCCCTTCCCTTCCCTTCCCTTCCCTTCCCTTCCCTTCCCTTCCCTTCCCTTTCCTTTCCTTTCCTTTCCTTTCCTTTCCTTTCCTTTCCTTTCCTTTCCTTTCCTTTCCTTTCCTTTCCTTTCCTTTCCTTTCCTTTCCTTTCCTTTCCTTTCCTTTCCTTTCCTTTCCTTTCCTTTCCTTTCCTTTCCTTTCCTTTCCTTCCCTTCCCTTCCTTTAAATTTAAAAGTAAACAAACGTGGGATCCTTGATCAACAGTCGGCGAATAAAATCCTTGCCATCTTCGGATATATCCGAAAAAGCGTCGCGATCGAATTCTAATTGACATTTTTTGATATTTTTGAGCGTTTCGACATCATTTTCTCCGCCGAACGGCGATAACCCGCTCAATCTTGTTTTTAAATAAATGAAGAATCAATCATCAATCCTAATATCTTCGCTCAACCTTAAAACTCCACTAGGTAGAGTGGTAACTTACTTGTTATCAAATTTAAATTTTTTTTTTCGACCCCATATAAAACGCATGAAAAAATAATTTTTTTTTTTTACAAAATATAAGTCAGAACTCCGCACGCCCACATATCGGTGTAAAATCCGACGGGATCTCTATTCACGATTTCCGGCGATGCGAATTCCGCCGTTCCAGTAGTTACCTTAACCGGTTCGGATGGATTTAAAAAGCTGGCTAAACCGAAATCTATTATCTTGACTTCCCTGCTATTCTTGGTCGTCAACAAAATATTCTCGGGCTAGAGGGGGAGGGGGAAGAAAGTATAAGTATAAATATGAGTTGTTAAAAAATATATGTCACGTGTATTTATTTTATCAGCAGTTTATGAATTAGATAGGTGAAAAAAACTTGGGTATTTTTTTTTTAAATAATATTAAAGACAATGGATATATAGACTAATAACTAAATTGACTGTTCATTCAATAAAAGTGTATAACCGCCTTTAACTGTAAATGTCATTTTTTTTGTGGCTTAAATTTAGACTGAGTTAGAGAACTGCACGGGCTGTCCGTAGCCCGACCCGACCCGACCCGGCCCGAGCCTCGGGCTCGGGTCGGGTTCGGACATCAAAAAAAAATTTTCTCGGGTTCGGGCTCGGGTCGGGTTGTAAAAGCTGTCCGACCCGAAAACCCGACCCGACCCGACCCGAAAATATATATAATAATATTAATATCTTAAATAGTTAGTATAATTTATAATATTAATTATAAAATCATATTATTTAATATTTATCACATTTTAGGATTAAAATGTCAATCATATTAACATGTCATGTCATTATTAATTATTATTTTATAAACCTAACAACCCGATACCAAACTATTTTATTACTAAATTGTGTTTCTCGTAAATTACAAGATAAGACATATTTTATGTAAGTTTTATTTATTATTTAACTAGCCTATACATTGTCTTTTTTAACATTTGTTTTAACCCTTCACTACAAAGGTAGAAAAAACTCCCTTAACTACAAAGGTGGGGTCTATTTTACCCCAAATTTTGATTAGATATATCTCAAAACATATTAAAAATTGAGATCTAAAATTTTGAGTATATATTTAAAAAATATTGGAGATAATAAATACAAAATCTTAGATTAATATTTACTTCCAAAAAAAAGTTAGACAAATTTTCCTAAAATTACTGAAATAAAATTTTCTTTTTCAGTACTTCCTTTAATTATTTTATTATCACTAAATAAAATTCAAAAAATTCAAATTTTATTAAATCAATGTTGAATAATGATAATTACATAAATTTTATAAAAAAATATCATATATCAAAAAAAATATTAATCATCAAATATGTAAAATTATTAAAAAATAATAATGTAAATATATATCTTAATATTATTATTGAATATTTTTTTCTTAAGAAACTACAGAGGTGGTAGATACGTTTTTGGACTTCTCTCTATGGGAGGCTGACAATGCGTATTCTGATGCTAGCGCCGAAGTTGACGAGCTAAAAAAATATCTAGATCCGAAATTATGTGTTGATGACGATAATATTTTAAAATGGTGGAAAACAAACCATTATGAGTTTCCAAATTTAAGTATTTTAGCTCTTAAATTCCTGGCTATCCCTGCTTCGTCGGCTAGCAGTGAAAGGGCGTTTTAAGCTGCTGGTAGGGCCTTTGAGGAGAGAAGGACTCGTTTAAAGCCAGATAAACTGGACGCCTCTTTATTTATATATCATAATTATTCACTTTGTGATAATTTTGATAATGATATTGATGAGGTCAATATATAATATAATATGTTCATTATATTTTTTATATATTTATTAACTTTTACATCATATCTATATTCGCATAAATGATGCTTATTATATAATCGTTATAATTTTTAAATTCGCTTGTATATTAATAGTTTTATAATATTTTTTACAAATTTTAAAAATGCAAATATCTTGAATAGATTATGGCCGTCAAATAAACTTTTATTTAAGGTGGCTGAACTGAATAAATACACCAGAAATTTTTTTTTGGTTATTATAATATTAAAACTTAAATTGCAAAATTTTATTCGGGTCGGGCTCGGGTCGGGTCGGGTTGGATTAAAAAATGTGTGCTCGGGCTCGGGTCGGGCTCGGACAAAAAAATTTTTTTTAATTCGGGCTCGGGTCGGGCTCGGGTTGCGAAAAAATTACTTTGCAGTTCTCTAGACTGAGTGACATTTTTAACAATTTTTTTTTATAAACAAAAAAATATATATATTTGTCATTGAATTAATGTGCATATTATTACCATAAAATGGAATCTACAGCTGACTCCTCTATAAATATATGTACACTTTAAGAGAATCGACGGTCTAGACTAGTATATTATTGTTATCGTGTGATTAAGATATATAAGGCTAGTATAATCTATAAAGCGTCGTTGAATGCAGATCAGCTGGAACCGCCATTTTGTTAAAAAACTACTATTAAATTGATAACTTACTTTCCTTAATTATCTTGATGATCAGGCAAATTCTTTAATAAAGTTTGCGTTACTTGTTTAAAATTTTTATAATAATGATATGGGTAACAAAAATGGCGTCCACAGCTGTTTTTCATTGATGTACACCTTTAATGAATGCTTCGTCAGCCTAGGTATTATTATACGTCATTGGTTTTGGAATTTATAGTCCCCTCACCACCCCCACTTAAATAAGGTCCTATTTTTTTTTAAAAAAATGAAATAATAAAGAATGAAAGAAGTATTACTTTCAAAAAAAAAATGAAATAATAAAGAATGAAAGAAATATTACTTTCAAAAAAAAATAAATAATCATTAATCACATATGTATATACCTTAAGATCCAGGTGAACCAAATTATTTTGGTGCAAGTGTTTGACTCCTTCGCACACTTGCCTGACAAAATTAGCCGCTTCCTTCTCCGACATTCTGTAATTCTCGTCGACAATTTTTTCGAATAATTCCCCGCCGGATAAACTGTTAACGGAGGAATAGGGGGGAGACAAAAATTATAGAGAATTAATGTTAGGTGAATTGATACAAGGGTAATTATTTATAACTATTAAGAGATTGACTAATTTGTTACCCTTTAAAGGTACTATTATTAGAGGTATAATTATTCATCTCGATGTTCTTATTACATATAATACAAATAAACTCATTCGAAATTGTTATTGAAAGAAATATTTTTCATTTTATAATACAAAAGATGCTGGGAAAAAGAGAGATAAATTTGGATCATATTATTATTAGATGGATTTTTTGGCGACAGTTAAGAGAAAAGAGTGGCAGGCGACTCAATAAAGATTTAGTAAACGTGAAAGGATTTAAGAATGGGTTGAAGATAGTGGTTGTTAAAAAACCGGATTTGGGTCGATTTTCAAAACCGGCCCGATAACAATGAGAACACCAAAGGTTAAAAAATCCTTTATATGTTATTAACCCATCTCTTTGGGCCCTTATTAGGCTCACTTTCAGCACTGACAGAGTCCCTCTTACCAGCTTGATTCCAAAATCTATGCTAAATCCAAACGGGTTCTTGGTTGGCTTTTCCATAGATTTTTTTTGATTTTATAACAAGAATAATATTGTGTAAGCCTGGTGATTCTTGCTAAATAGATGACGGAAAGGTTCGGACTACTTGCCAAATCTTGAGACTTACGCAATATTACTTTGGCTAAAAATCCTAACACTAGTTGAAAAGATATAAAGTACTACAATACTTTTATGTAGATGGAACGTTTTTTTTTAAAAAAAATGAAAATAAATGTTTTGTGCTCACAATTCCAAAATCATGACCATCTCGTCTCTGTCATCGAAAGCGTCGTGCAAGCGCAATAGCTTCGGATGATTCAGGTGGTTCATGACGTCGATTTCTTTGTTGATCAATTCCTTTTCCCGCGGTGTTTGACAATTGATAAATTTGGCGGCGAAAATATTGCCCGTCGCCTTTTCCCTGCACCTGTGAACTACTCCGAAGGCTCCGCTGTTCCGAAGAATTTCATTTTCCGATAAAAAAAAAATATAAAAAAAATGGTTAAAATTTTTTTATCACAAAAATTCCTATCTTTTGTGTGTATTAATATATCAGGTCGGGTCAATTTCCGGTTTGGGAATTTATATCACTCTTACGCTGTTCGGTTCGACACCCATCCCCTTGCGTGAATATCTTCTCCTCGAAGAAATAAAAGGAGGAAAGAATTATGGGGAAAAAAATGAAATTACACTCCAATCTCTTCCAATATGTCATAGTATTGCGAAACGGGACCATCTCTCACGCGAACTTCCCGCGGCACGACGTATTTGCTGGGATAATCAAAAACTAAAAAAAAAAAAAATGACAAGAATTCCTTTTATTTATAATGTTATTTTTTTTCTTTTTATACTTTGTTTCTTTATTTATACTTATCTTTTTTTCTTTTTTTTTAAAGTGAGACACTTAGGGCGGAAAATTCTTATGAGGTTGGAAAAAAAGGATTTCAGGATTCCTATCTGCCTTTCTTTTTCTTCTTTCTTTCTTTCTCCAAACCTCCCAAAATTTTTCCCACCCTAAGCTTTATCATTTCTTTTCCTTCCTATATTTATACTCTTCCATTTAAAAAAAATAAATATTTAAATAAGCAAAAACGCGAAATTATTAAACTAATAAATCTTTTATAACAATATTTTACCAAATTTATCATAATTATCAACTTTTCCTTCGAATTTTCCTCTGATGAATCTACCAGTCTCGGGATCTGAATTCAAGATAAAAAATAATATTCTGTAAAATAGAAAAGGGTGTGTCTGGTATACCCTATCTCTTTCTAAATTCAAGAAAAATATCTCTAAAAAATTGGAAATCCTACCCTACCCACACACTATTCTACCTTACCTCCATCCATCTGTCTATTAGTGCAATTAGTATAATTAAACTAGCTAATTCGGCGGAATGTCAAGGGCTTCGGTTTAAAAAATCGGTTTCGCCATTTTTGGTGTTAGGCTCACTGACTAAAAAAAAAATGGAGTGAGGAGGGGTTGATATATCAAGCGTAATTAGGTAATTTGTATTTTATAACCTAATCGGTTCCCGTTCTAAATCGCTAAAACAAAAATCGCTAAAAATTGGGAACATGGCTCTTATCTCCTAGAAAATTTTTAAAGTAAATTTTGAAATTAATATTAATAGATACTAAGGGGACTAAACACTTGTATTTAAATTGAAAATTTTAAAAAAAATCGCTAAAATGGAAGAAATATCATCCAAAATCCCAATTTGATTCGGAGAAACGTATCGCGAAATCAATTTTTTTTTTTTAAAAAACACTTTATTATTTACGCTCACCTTCGTAGCCGCTAGTTCTGCGGCGCCTAAAATCGTTAGATTCTTGGGTGGTAACGGGGGACGTAGGCGGACACGGTTCGCTAACGCCGTAAAAGTTTTCCGCTTTTATCCTGAAAGCGTAAGCGTGATTCGGCTTTAAATCGTTTATCGTGTGCGTGGCGAACCTGATTAGAAAAAAAAAATTTGGAAATAAAAACAAGATACAAAAAAATTTCTATTTTATAAAAAAATAGATTTTGTTTTAAAATTTATAAATTTGTGTTAATTGTTATTAATAAAAAAAAAAGTAGTAAATAATATTTTAAGTATTTGTTGATGTAATTTTTCGTATTTTATTCTCGTTTTTTTTTCTCGTTTTTCTTGATTCATAATATTATCGATTCGCAAAAAATTTTATAAATTTTGAGGGGTTTTTTTTTTCAATACATTTAGGACACACAAGCCTCTAACAAAGTAGAAACGATTAATATAATAATAGGTTTAAGCTCTTTTCTTTTTTTTTAGCGCAAACCTAGAAACACCGCAATGAACCCATTCGGTATTGGGAAGATTTTGTATCTCGACGATGTATTGAGTAATGAAACTGCCTCCGTCGTTGATCGGGGGCTTCCAAGACAAGACTATGGATTCGTCCCTAATATTCTCCAGAACGGGATATCTAGGAGGGTCTGGGCGGTCTACAAAATTATAATATTATTATTTTTTAATTGAAAGATCAAGGGAAAATTGGATTCACGAAAACGAATAAATTAATAAAGATAAATTATCGAGGCTTCTCTAACCCATTATTTTGATGTTGATGTTTTCCGAATCAGAACCTATTTCGTTTTCTAATAATAGTTTGTAGGAGGCTTCGTCTCCTTTAGTCGAATGTTTGATGGTCAATATAGCATAGCGATCCTGGTTTTTTTTTTGAAGGATAAAAAAATTAGAGTTAACTTCCAAGAGGCATTATTGGTCGGACTAGCCCGCCAATCATCGGTTGCAAAAAATATGAACGAACCAAGGGAACTGGACAGACAGGGCTTCCATTTCAATTTTCTTCTTCTACAAGGCTTTGTCAGGAATCATGAAGAAAATTAAGAATCCTATCATAATTATGCTTAGATTTTTTTTAAAAATAACTTTTGTGTTTATACAACGCACTTAATTTACATTTTCCTCGCTTGTTTATTTTATATTACTATATTATTTATGCTATTTTTCAAACTGCTGTAACTAGAAAATTTCGGTCCATGCAGACCTCTGTAATTAAATATATTTTCTTTAAGAAAAACCAATGTTTCCGATTGAATCCTATTTCCGGAAACATCCAATTCCTCGCCATTCTTAAACCATTGAGCCTTCGGCTTAGGGTAGCCAGTGAACGGTATTTTCAGCACGATTTCCTGATCCTTTTCGTGTATGTCGGGTTCCTTAAATCTCGCGGGCAAATGAATTTTGGGGGCGGCTGAAAAAAATAAAATAAAAACAAAATAATTATAAAAAAAATAAATATTTATAAATAAAACAAAACCACTAACATTTGATAGTCAGCTGAGCTCTAGAACTTCTGCTACCAGCAGCGCTGCTGGCCTTGACCGTGTATTCGTCGGCATCTTCCCCGAAAATGTCGTTTATTATGAGATAATGTCGATCTCCTTCCCGACCCATGAAGAATTTCTGGCCCTCAGTTATTTCCCGGGTGCCTTTAAACCTTTTTATTGTTAAATATTTTATATATTATTTGAACTTATGCGCTACACGTAAACGGTGTGAGTAAAATAGCCCACCTGAAATCATCCAAGGCGATACGTACATTTTATTATAATATATAAATCTAGCTCTCACATACAAGTAGATGGACTTATTTAGATTTAATTTCATTTTATGTTTTTTCTTTATTGGCATAATATTTTTGGAGCGAAAGCTTTAGCAATCACCAAGTTTTCGTTATATCTACTATATACTATTCCCCACTTAGCCGACTTCCGGTTTTGGGCACAAATATGATCTTAATGGCACTATTTACCGACACCAATTACACGTAGTATACAATTCAATTAATTCGTATTTTTTTTTATTTTACCAATAGAAGAATGTATCGTTAGAAGCTTGAATCCTGCACTCAAATTTGGCTTGCTTACCTTCTATTCCCTTTATATCTTTCAGCGGTGTTATAAAAACTGGAATGATGGGCGCTATTTTTGAGTGATATTTATGTTTTTTGAAGTGTAATTTTTAAAAAAACAATTGTTTTTTTCAAAATTTAAGGAAGGAAGGAAGGAAGAATAAAAGAAAGAAAGAAAGAAAAGATATACCGTTAGGATCCTTGACCTTGATCAATTTGCTATTTTCTGAGGGAGGACCGACCCCGGCATCGTTATGAGCAAATATTCTGAATTCGTATTCTCTGTCTTCGATTAGGTTCGATATATTGAGAATTTGATGTAATTGTGGATGCTTTTATACGTTCAAATAATTATAATACATTATATGCAATAATAAATTCATTCCAAATGAACATCACCCCCTACAGATAATATCAATAGACCTACCTATCGTTATCAGAATCTAATTTGACATTTTAAAAAAAAACAGCTGATCTCACGAGTTCTTACCTGCTTCCTATTTTAATTTCCTTTTCTTCTTTCTTTTTATTTAAAGAGGTTTTACGCCTTTCGCAAGCATTAAATTGCGCGAATCTCGTGATATTCGCAAAAAAATAAAAGCAAATTAGCATTTATTTTTGAAGATAAAATTTCTTAGGATTCGCCCAATTTAAAATGTTCTCACGTGACGTAAGCTTTACGTCATAATAGGCAAAATTACCAATGAGCAAGGAGTCCAATTATCGGTTCCTTTTTCTCTCTTTTCAACGGTGTATCCTGTTATACGACCTCCGCCATCCGATATCGGTTTGGCCCACGATAAGCTCACGAAATCGTTGCCGACTTCAGAAACTTGAGGTACGCCGGGTGGACCTGGCGGATCTAAACGTTTAAAGCGTTTTGAATAAGTTTTTAAAACGATAAATTAACTGATTTCGAATTAGAGAAATTTTAGAATATGAACAAAACCTATGCTTTTTTCTATCTTTTAGCAATTTAGACAATAATTTAATATATATATATATAGGTAAGCTCATTGATTTAGAAAAACGAGGTCTTTGGAATTGTTTATATATGTAAATTGCTAACCGAATGGGTATTTGGCTATAACGATCTCATCGTTTTTGAGCGGTGGTCCTTGGCCAACTTCGTTTATGGCGCTAACTCTAAAGTCGTATTCCCCGTTTTCGGTCAGTCCGCTAACCACTGCCGATAAATCCTATTGGGTCACAAAACATTATCATTATTTTTTACGATGCATTAATCAATGAGTGATGAGATTTCAATCATAAGTACTTTCGTATAATTGGTTATTTTATCTCACAACAAAAATTAAAATTTACTTTGCATAAACTGAACACCAATATCCAATTGTCTTTGTTTCTTTCTTTCCGCTCCACGGCGTATCCAATAATCTTGGAGCCTCCGTCATCACGTGGTGGTTGCCAACTGAGAGTCACCTTGTGATTGGTCGTATCAGTGACCTTCATCGGGCCGTGGGGTGGGCCGGGTAAACCTTAAAAAGCATTTTATATATAAATTTGATAATTATTATTATTTTTTTTTTAAAAAAAAGGGATTTTAAGGAATTTATTGAAATTCCGCAATGGAATATATGTTAATTTTTTTTATGTTTAGAATTTTTAAATGTGAATAAATTGTTCGATATGTAAAGCAACACAGTACTGACCTCTGACTCTAACATTGAAGGATCCAGTGTCGGAACCGCTATCATTTTCGATGACCAACGTATACTTACCTTCGTCGTTAAGGGTAGCCTCGTTAATGTGGAGATTCAAGAATTCATCGAAAGTCGTGTATTTAAAGTGCTGACTTTCGTTCAATACTTTTCCATCCTTGAAAAAAAATAATTGTAATTGTTAATTATGTTATAAATATTATTCCACCCTCCTCCCCCCCCCCTATTAAAATTAGTTCTAATAAGTATTTACCTTGAGAACTTTGAAACTGAAAGGACCCATGCCGGTGAAATAGAATTTGCCTTTGAGATTCTGTCCCTCTTCGATAAACATATCATCTGGGCATTGCGTTATTTTTGGTGGAGCTAGGTAGAAAGGAGTGAAGATTGAATCAAATTTAATGGGGAAAAAAAATTATACCTTGTATTTCTAATTCGCAAGTTGTTTCGTCTCTCCCGAAATCGTTTATAGCCCGACATGAATAGGTCCCGGCATCGCTGGGAGTGATATCGGAGAAAGAGAGCGTAAAGACGCCTTCGTCCTCTATCATCCTTATTTTTCCGCTAGGCCAGATCTCTATTCCGTCTTTAAACCTATTAAAAAAATGTAATTAAATTAATATGAAAATTTGCTTTTTATACCATCTAGATTCTGGTATTGGAAACCCTGTAGCTTCACATTCTAATTTAAGTGGTTGATTCAAACCGGCTTTCGTTTTCTTCAACTTTCTGATGAATTCGGGAATGTCACCTTCGAATATAAAAATTTGGCATTGACGAAATTAGGAAAGAAAAAAAAATAAATACCATGTTTTTCTCTCAATTTGACGAGTCCGGTAGATCCACTAGGGTCACTTTCTCCAGCATTATTCAGCGCTCTGACTCTAAACTCTAATTCTGAATTGGGTGGAAGGTTAGTAAGGGTGTAAGAAGTTGTGGGAATAGAATGATCAACGGGTCTAACCCAGTTCTCGCTGTCTTTAGGTCGCATTTCGATTACGTAGCCTTATATTTGTTATAAAATTGCTTAATCAATATATATACAAAGGCCTACAAGGCCAAGCCCAAACTAAGCCCGGGTGAGTACACGGGCTGGTGACCGGGCCCAGAATATTTTAAATCGTCACAATTTCGATCCTTAGAAATTTCTAAGTAAATATTATTCAAATTAATTACTCAACTTTAGGGTTGGGGTCAACTCAATATTTAGAATATGATACACTTCTCATGGGAATAAGTTGCCAGGGAGAGGAGAGCGAAATAACTGATACTTTATATCATGAGAGGAACCGGAAATAAAGTAATTAGCATCGATCCGTCGAATCAGTGTTGTGACTTAAACTCACTCATTTTTACCAAAAAATGGGGAGGTTCATATTCCCCCATAAACGACTCGCTAAATTCCGAATAAGATGGTATATTATAATTTTTTTTTAAAAAAAAAACCAAGGCCGTAGAAAAGATTGGCAAGAAATCCGAGCCAGACCTGGCCCGAAAGTATAAAACCCGGTCAGCGCATGTGCGCCTCTTCAGGTCTCTAATACAAATAAGTCGTTATTATACCCGATATTTTGGAGCCACCGTCTGATCTAGGAGGTTCCCAAGCAAGTTCGATGCTATCTTTTCCGACTTTAACGATATCCGGTGTGTTAACCGGAGATGGCCGAGCTGAAAAAAAATCAGAAATGAATAATGATTGAAAAAGTTAAAATTACAAGCTTTGGGTTTGACTTGAACGGGGGCCGTTGGTTCGCTAGGCTTACTGAAACCGGCGTTGTTTTTGGCAAGAATCCTGAATTCGTAAGATATGCCTTTCTTCAAATCGGGAACTCTAAATGAGGTAGTTTTGATGAGCCCATTGACAGGCATGGAGTTCCAGGTTTCCTTGGCAACGTCTCGGTATTCTATTCTGTATCCCTGTATTTTATTGCCTCCATCGGATAGGGGCCTATGCCAAGTTAACTCTACAGAATCTTTATCTTGATCTGATATTTGTGGTTTACCAGGTTTCTCGGGAACTTCTATAAAGATAATTTTTACAAATACAAAAGATCTAACATGAGAGGAATCAACATGGTAAGCAATAAAATTATAATGAAATTTGTATTATAATATAAACGGAACGGCCATTGAGCGATGATAGATTTTTCCGTCTCCAGCGGTGAACTGGTTCCGAATTCGTTTTCAGCGCTGACTCTAAATTTGTATCTTTTGCCTTCCTCCAAGCCCAGCACTTCGTAAGTGCAGTCTTTGACGTAATTAGTCACCTTTTCCCAGTTACCTTGATTTTTTATTATTTTTAATTAGTTGACAAAAATAGCGGATATAAAATGAAAATGACTTTTATGTTTAAAGTGATGGCAAAATTTTTTTTAAATTAAGGGTAGGATTGAGTAGAGGTCTGCAACATGCGTAAATATGGGGGGGGGAAGCGGGGATAAAAAAAACTACCCTATTTCAATCTAGGGTTGGAGGGTTAGATGTTATAGTGTTTTTTAATTTATTTCCAGGGCCGAGTCGGGCAACAACTAAATTCCCATCGGGTCGTGCCTAAGAATCTTACGGGTTTGCAGATTCACTGAATCCAGATTGCTGATTAAGCTGACCCGATAAATCTTCTTCTCCACTTATGGGAAAACCCATAATCGCGTTAACTTTTATTTACCTTTATCGTCCATTTTTTCGATAACGTAATTGGTTAAAGGAGATCCTCCATCGTCCAATGGGGGTAGCCAGGATAATCTGCATGAATCGGGTAAAATTTCGGAGACATCTAAAGGACCTCTAGGCTCTGACGGTTTATCTGTTTTTTTTTGAATTTATGATCACGTGATAAAAATAAACGAATAAGAAATATTATTATTTCTAAATATGTACCTATCACATTGACTTTAATGTTAGCGGAATCGTATCCCTTCTCGTTTTGCAACTTGATTGAATAATTTCCGGCATCCGCGCGAGACGCTCTAGGTATTTTTAACGAGGCGACTCCGTCACTATTATCGAATATGACGTTATCGGGCAAGTCGCCTTCTCCGTAAGAGATTATGGAACCGTCCTTTTATATAAATCCACCAAAAAAATAATAAATAACGTAGTCTTAAAATTCGAATATCGTAAATGTTTTCCTATCCCCTAAATTTTAATTATTATGAATATATAACTTTAGTCCACGTGTCCTTGGGTTTTGGAGAGGCCATATAAGGAATCCTGATAAGTAATTCCTGGCCGGCTGGAATCGTGATAGAACGGTGTTCTTGAATTATTTTAGGCGCGTCTAATAATTAAAATTATTAATTTAATAAAGCGTTAAAATTAGGGGGGGGGCTTACATGGCATTGGTCTAGCGAAGATGGGATCGGAAGGTTCGCTGTACTCTCCGCCGCCTATTTCGTTCACGCCGCAAACTCTAAATTCGTATTTGTGTTCGGGAACAAGACCAGTAATCTATATTCAGAAGGAAAAAAAATATCATTTTAAAGAAGAAAATTTAATTATTCGAAAAAATATTTTTCGCACTTTATAAGTCGGTTCAACGAAATTCCCGAAAGATGACCTGGTCCATTTGTCGTCCTTGTTCGTGATGTCGCGCTTTTCGATCAAATAAGTTTTTATAGGTTTGCCGCCATCTTTTTGGGGTTTGTTCCATTTGAGGGTTATAAAATCGAATCCCGTGTCTACGGCCTCCGGGGCAGATGGGGCCGATGGTTTACCTTGAAATTTTAAAGCGAAAAAAAAATGTATCTGTAAAAAAGTGTAACGAGAAATTTTATTTTAAAACCGAAAGGATCCTTAGCCATGATGGGCTCACTGGTCACGGCGAATTCTCCGACTCCGTATTTGTTCTCGGCTGCCACCCTGAATTCGTATTCAATTCCGGGCGTTAAATTCTTTGCCGTGTAGGAAGGATTAGCCGAAGCGGAAGACACGAAGGCGCTCAAAGGCTCCCATTGAGTTCCCCTCGGGTCTCTCTTCTCTATCACGTAGTTAGATATCTCGTCGCCTCCGTCGTCCTTTGGCGGGCGCCATTTTAGGAGCATGGTGGTTCCGGTGATGTCCGAAACGGATAAATTCTGAGGCTTTGATGGGGAAGCTGAAATGATATATCGATGATAATTTGATTAGTTACATGAAAATGACATTTAAAAGTGAGAAAAATGATCTTAATTTTAAAACTTGTTTAAAATCACTCACCCCCCCCCCCTCCCGACCGCCTTTTTATATCTCAAAATTGGTAACTGAACATAAATTATTAATATGTAGCCATGATTATCAAATTATTTATGGAAAGATGTTGAATTCCTTATCTAAACTCTGGAAAAAAATGCTTAAATCCTTATCAAAATCATAGCAATGCTGAACAATGTTCTTTTTAATTTAAATCTGACCCCTTGTTAGCTAAATCTTTTAATTTTTAATATACAACTTATGTCACTCAAACTTTTCTATCATCCTACTTTTTTTTAATTTTAACCTTACCATCTTTTATCAATTTTCAAATTTGACGAAAGTTTCTCTCTTTCTATGTATATTATTTGCATTCATAATGATGCACATGAGAGCGTCGTTTGAATGCAAATCAGCTGGATCCGCCATTTTGGCAACCCATATGGTAACTATTCTCGTGTTAAAAGCTGATATTAGATCGATAACTTGCTTCCTTATCATCTCGACTCTTGGTTAAAATTTTTAATAATGATTATGGATAACAAAAATGGTCTCCCCAGCTGTTTATCATTGATGTACATGTTATTGATTATTGTATAGCCGCAAAGCTGCCAATTATAATTTTTATACCAAATTTTTCATATGTTTCCTATGCAAGGGTAAGAAAGTAAGCAACCAACCATCAATTTTCGAAGAATACCAAAAATTTAGGTGATAAATTGTAATAATCTTACATTTTAGGAACGCCATTTGCTACTTGTTTTCAAAAATTAACGGGAGTAACACAAAATGTTAGTAAATTTATATTCTCCGAATATTACGATTTAATTTATAAAGAATAAATGCCAAGATGAAGATTTTTTAACTTTGACCTGGACACCTGTATGAAACAATTTTTTTTTTACACCGATAAAGAAAGCTTAGGATATTAGGTATATTATATATACTTTTGTAAGTAACCTTAAGAAAAGATCTTGACAAAATATTGCATACAAAAATTAGAATCGTTTTATCTGAATAACGCACAGACCGACCAATCAGATTGATAAACTTCTGATAATGTTTACAAAAAAAAGATTTAGATAAGGTTTCTGGATGAATAATACTTGTGGATGAATAATATAAAGATCAAATTTAAATATTTTTTAATAAATTCTTCTCTCAAATTAAAATGTTTATTTATCATATCATATATCTAATACAACTCTATCTTCTACACAAGTTGAACGTGCGTTTAGCACAAGAGAAAGCTGTGTTGAGGAACTAAGTGCTCTTGTTAATATGATCAAAATCTTGAAAATCAATGGTTGTTGCCAAAAATAAATGAATTATTTTACAATATCATATAACATATTTTTTTATTTTACTAAACTTAACCGAGAATAATATAATAAGAATTTATTGATTTTACTGTTTTTTATATATATGGCTTCAAATGGTAATGAGTATGCGTTACTTTTGTCAAATGTAACGAAATAACGCGCTTATTTTAATAAAGTAACGTTTGCGGCGCTTAAAAATAATTTTAAATAGATCATACAAGATAATTATCTGCCCTCTTATAAATACACTAATTATAATAGATATCATATAAAATTTTATTTATACCAAGACTATATTTATCAAGGTATTTATTATTTTAATATTTTATAATATCCATATAGCATGTTAAATGAAATTGAAGGAAATCTAAAATGTAAGTGTATTTATGTTAAGCGGCAAATATGTTTTTTTTTTCAACTTCATCTAAATCATTTATTGAAGCGACTTTTTTAAAAAAAAAATTTAAAAATCAGATTTTTTCCGGAAATGATATTCCGTCGTGTTTGGAATACCTTCATTCTTATGAATTTCAGACAATTTTGCCCAAGAAACTTTTGAAAATCGTATATAATTAATATTTAGTTTTTTTTTTCCATAGATTTTTCCAGTGTTGTTTAATCACCTAACTTTGACCATCTCTATTGTGTCTTGTTCAAGCTTTTAGACTAAAAAAAATATTGAATTAAGCTTCTAAGATGAGTCCCAGCTCGAAGATTGATTAGAATTTAAGAGATTACATTTCCGGTTTAAATTATATTTTAAAAATTTAAATAAGCGCGGGAAAAAAAATAACACCGTTGCCCGATAACATATATTTTAGGTTTTAACAAAAAACATATATATATATATAATTGTACATAGAACTTTGACGTTGACTGACGTGACGGCTGAACCGCTAGAATTTTTAAGCTTCAATGAGTATCTGCCTTTATCTTGTCGTTTCGCTTTCGTGTTTTCGAAAATTACTTCATTGTCGGATACCTAAATTATATTTAAAAAAATATATGCAATAAATATTTTAATTTATTTATGACCAATAATGTTGTAAATTGTATTATTTTTTTATCCAATGATCCATAAATTAATAACAAAATATTAATCATAAATGATTGACAGCTCTCAATATTACAACGTCACTCACAACAATTTATATATATAATATCTCGTGTTTAAGCCCCCCCCCCTTCTTTTGTGTTCGCGGGCAATTCATTTCGTAAAAATAATGTGCTTTTTCGTTTTATTTTGCTAAGACGTTCACGCCTGTTTTGTTCGCAAAACGCGAAGAATGCGCACATTTTAATCGCTAGCGAAGACAAAAAAGGCGAAAATATCTTGAACTTGTTGTGGTATAGATTTTACCCATAATTATTGCAAAAAAAGTAACAAAATTGAAAGTTTCAAACGCAGCGTTTCACAAAAAAAGCAAATAATGCATTTCAAATGCATCCGGTTTAAATTGGAACCATTTCCGGTTTTGCATTTTAAATTATTTATATAAAAAAACAAAATATTTTGCGTTTTTTTTTGAAAACGTTTTTAAATTTTTTAAGCTATTAGAATGGATCACAACATCTTCCTAAAAAAGTAAAATAGTTATATTAAATGATAACAAATAATATTTTATAGCTTATTAGAATTATGATGGTATTACAAAAAAAAAAAAATTTGCTAATTAAATATAGAGGGCAAGCCTTTTTTGTTTTGTTTAGAATTTTAGACGGTTTCATATTGAAAAAAATAAAAGTTTAACGCTTCAAATTTAAACATAGGGTGCGGTTTGCGTTTTTTTATGTATTCGCGTTTAGAAACGCTGCTTTTGAAGCGTTTCAATTTGTGCGGCAACTTATTAGATTCAAATGTTCCACCGAATATTGTATTATTTGTAATTTGAAATAAAAATCTTATGTGTAAATTTGCAAAAAATTTAAAAAGTGATTATAACTCAATTTTTGTAAATTTTATAATAATATGCAATTAATATTTTTTTTATAATCCAGATAGCTAGCTTGTATCTGTAAATGTATTTGATTTTAAAGCAATTTTTTAAAAGAAGACAAATATCAGTTACAGAAAAAGGAACTTCAAACTAATCTCGCAAAAATATTATATTCAAAAATCAGAATTCATTATTCTTTTGAGAAAAAAAGAAAGAAAGAAAGAAAGAAAGAAAGAAAGAATGAGATAAAAACTATTCGAAATATTTGTAAATTTTATAATAATTTAACGTTTAAATTAGCAAAAGAATGCTAAAAGAAATTTGACATAATTTTTTTTTTTTAAAAAATGATTTAATTTCAAATTTTAATTTTTCAAAAATTATTCTTTAAAAAATTCCATAATTTAAATTTAATCTTAATTATTTTTTAAAAAATCAATTTTAATCAATTTAAAAACTTAATTATTTTTAAAACCAATTTTAATCAATTAAAACCAATTATTTTTAAAATCAATTTTAAAATCAATTTTAAAATCAATTCGCGTGAAAGCAAGAAATAGATGAATTTAGGAGTAAAATGACCTCCTCAAAAAATTAAATAAATAATAAATAGAAAATAGATAGAATCGATATAAAATTAGTAATCTATAATAACTACTCAATATATCAGTTCTAAGTATGATTCGAAGATAATACGTAATTGAAATGAACATTAGCAATAAGATTATATTCTTAAACAATTAACACCGAATCATGGCATTAAGAGGATTTATGGGAAAAATTAATGGAGAGGGGGGGGGGCAGTTTTAGGAACGATTGACCAATAAAATTATTTATCCATGATCTAAATGACAACTAGCGCATTTAAATATTCATATTCATATTCTATTTTTTTATGTTTTAAATTGGCAAAAATGAGTTTAATAACATTTATATTGATCCGTGAATCGTCGTTGATTGTTTTGTCACCATTTTGCCACGTGGCAGCGGGTTTAGGAAAGCCCGTGAAAGGAACCACTATTTTAAACGTGTCTCCTTCTTTGACGACAATATCTTTCAATTTTCCGCACGTGATTTGAGGTTTATCTATCAATCATTCGTAATTTCGAAGTAAACGTATTATATTATTCCAACATTCTGGGCTTTCTAAAAAGCCTAATCCAGCTTTTTTTTCTTAACTGACCATTTCTTCCTAAGTTAACTTTACTTCGCGTTTCGTGACTCATTTGAATTTTCTAAAAAAAAGATCGATTAAAATAAAATCACATTACTTGGTTGATCTTGAGCTATGATGCCAGGAGTGAGTCTGCTCGGTTCGCCTATTCCCGCATCATTTTCGGCACTAACCCTAAATTCATACTCTTCTCCAGGAGTCAAACCTTCTACGTTGAATGTGAGAGATTCTATCGGATGTCTAAGAATAAATAAATATTCGTTTCAGAAAAATTGAGTGGCAATTAGGAGGAATGGATTAAATAAACTGTATTTTACCTATTCGCTGGTAGCCAATTATCGTTTCCTTTAGATTTATATTCTACGTGATATCCCTTGATTTTGCTACCGCCATCTCTTCGGGGCTTATCCCAACTCAGTTGAACGCTATTTCTCGTTATATTCTCTATCCTTGGAATATTCGGAGCATCGGGCGTTACTTTAATATTAAAGTAAACATATGTTTTACAATATAGTTTAAGATTGAAATATTTTGGTAATCATTACCTATACGTTCACGCGTTATTACGGTTTCCGTTGGGCGTGAGGGCTTTCCAGCCCCTCCCTCGTTAACAGCTTTAACCCTAAATTCGTATTCCGTGTCTTCGTCCAAGCCCTTAGCGATGTAATTTGTGCTCGGGAGAGGTTCGGTGTTACAAGGCACCCAGTCCTTTTGTCTCTTTTGACGCTTTTCAATTAGGTAACCTGAGAGAGAAAAAATTAAATAAATAATATAATCATCGTCGTAAATATTCTAGAAGTGTGTTCAGCGCGAACCTTGTATGGGATTTCCTCCATCCAATTTAGGCTTTTCCCACGACAAAGATACGTGAGACGGTCCGTAGTCAACAACATCCGGTTGGGAAGGTGCCTCCGGTTTTTCTATAATTATACAAGTTATATTCGTTTCGAAGAAGATTCTTAAATTACCGAAAGAATTTTTGGCGGTGACTGATGATCCCTCCAACGGTTCGCTAGTACCATATATATTTTCGGCCTTAACTCTGAATTTATAAGATACGCCTTCTTCCAAATCATCTACCTTAAATTTGGTTCCGCTTACAATGCCAGGAACCTTCTTCCATTGTCCATCTTCTAGTTTTTCGACCACGTAACCTATCAAATCAATATTCAATTTATATATATAAATAATATTTTTTTTATTAATAACCAGTTATTTCAGAGCCATCCAATTCTTCTGGAGGATTCCAGGATAATACTATTGATTTAGCGCTAACATCTTCATATTTAAGGGGACCAACTGGTTCATTGGGAGGACCTTTATCATGAAACGTCGAATCATATAAATATTCATTTTTAAAGAGTTTATAATTTTACCTAAAATGACGACTTTTAGATCGGCTGTATCGGATCCTACTGGATTCGATATTTTGATTGTATATTTACCGGCATCAGATTTCTGAGCGGCTGGTATCTTTAAAGTGATAGTATCGTTAGTAGATTCTAACTCTAGCTTGGGGCCGGATGACAATAAACGGTCGTTTTTCTCCCATTGAACCGTAGGTGTAGGAGAACCAGACATCGGGATGCTTATATTCAGAGGATTTCCTTCGCGAATCCTGATTTCTCGCCCATATATGTGGTCCAAATGTAGTTTTGGATATTCTAAAAAAGCGTATAAAATTTTTTTTATTTGATTATTAGTTAAATGTCGAGTAGACGCTATCATTAAGTATATAAAACCTATTTCCGGTTTGGCGGCAATTTTAGCGGATGTTTGGCTCGGATCGCTCGCGCCTTCTTTATTAACGGCTTTTACTCTGTACTCATATACGTGTTCTTCGGCTACCCCTTCATCGTCATAATTTTGATCCTATATCAAGAAGAAAAAAAAAACAAATTACAACAGCAATAAAATATACATAAACTCTACAACAAATTTATATCTATTTCATAGTACTAGATATAGCAGTATGGGGGAACTTACTTCTACAAAGAAAATTAACACAACATTTAGCCAATTTTGAAAAAAAATTTTGTTATTATTTTCCAATCTTTTAAAATATAAATATTTTGTATCGCGTTTTTATATATTTTTTGATGCAAAATATTGAAATAAATTAGCACAATTATTCTTTTTGATTCGCAAAAATGCAACTTAGAAATTTTTTTTACAGTTATTTCGTTGCATCCGTGGTGGGTGTTGTTAAATGGTTCTCTTCAGCCGATTCTTAAAAAACGGCTAAACCCCAGTAATTATATATTAAGATTAAGTAATATAAAATATAGGTCTTGATTTTGACATTGGGAGATCAAAAAAAATCTAGTGGTGGAATGAGGCTGTAAAGACTGCCATAAAAGACAAGAAAGCACTGCGCATACATTTTTCCTCATATTAAGAAATTTTTAAAATGTATTTTTTTAAAATACTTTTATAGGGGATTTGTTAAGCTTAACCCAGCGTCCACTTTTAATATCTCTTCTTTCGACAAGGTAGCCAAGTATAGGAGAACCTCCATCATCGTGTGGTTTATCCCATCTTATAGATATTTTATCTCTATCTTGTGTTACGGCTTCAGGTTTTCCTGGAGGATCAGGAACATCTGTATTATATAAAATGCAACATAAAATATTTATAAAAGAGTTTTTAAAAAAGAAAAATAAATTACCATATGGGTTTTTGGCAACGATGCTACCAGTGGTAAGCAAAGGCTCGGATATTCCGTTAACATTTTCAGCCATGACTCTAAATTCGTATTTTTTGCCTTCAGCTAATCTAGGAACCGTGAATGTATTTCCGGTAACATTGTGAGAAACAGGCGACCATGTTCCCTTTTCCAGATCTTTTTTCTCAACGATATAATTTCTATATACGAATAATGATTTATAATTGGATCGAAAAAAAAAACTAACGTTATTGGCATCCCTCCATCATCCTTAGGGGGCTTCCATGTCAATTTGCAACTTTCTTTAGTAATATCGGAAACTTTCAAAGGTCCTTCCGGTAGCGATGGTTTATCCAAAATTTCTAGTCTTATGGTTTTAGAATCAAAACCATGTGGATTGGTTAATTTAAGCGTACAGGGTCCGGAATCCGCCCTCACGGCGTTTCTTATAATTAAATTAATCTCGCTTTTATTGTGCGTGATCGATATTCTATCATTGGGTGATAGATCTTTACCTGTCATAAATGTAGACAATTTAGAAAAACATTATTAAAACGATATTTACTATCGATGGACCAAATAACATCTGGTTCAGGGGCAGCCTGGTAAGTGACCACGAAATCAACATTGTGACCGGCTTTAACTTTAACATCTTTCATGGGACCAATTTTTGGCGGCATAAATCTTGACTTCGCGGTAATTAATCCGGTGGATTCACTCGCTTCCCCCAATCCCGCTGCATTTACGGGTACCACCCTAAATTCATACTCGTTTCCCTCCACTAGATTTGTTACTTTTCCTGTATTTTTACCGCCAGGAATTTCGGAGGCGGGCGTCCAATGAGTAGATAACTTTTCTTTCTTTTCTATAATGTATTTCTGAATCGGAGAGCCGCCATCATCTTCTGGAGGGCTCCATTTAACTTCAGCAAAATTACTTCCCCAATCAACTAATTCGACATCTTCCGGTGCAGAAGATTTCTCTGTAAAATTAATTTTTAAAATGAATAAACGAGAATCGTCAGCTTTTATTATACCATATGGATTTTTGGCTATAATCGATTTTGTCGTTTCTAGGGGAGCAGATTGTCCACTATCATTGATAGCTTTTACTCTAAATTTGTATTCCCGACCTTTAGCTAATTTTGGAACCTAAGTAAATTTAAATTGTGATGAAAGCCATTTTATAAAAAAAAACCTTAAATTTAGTGTCTGTAGTTTCGGCAACAGGTACCCACGATCCTCTATGCATATCCATCTTCTCTACGAGATAACCAGTTATATCCGATCCACCATCATCCTTAGGAGGTTTCCATTTTAGCGTTGCGCTATCTTCCGTCACTCCAGTTACTTCCAATGGCCCCTCGGGAGTTGAAGGTACATCTAGGGTAATATTAATTAATATTATAAATATAGAACAATAAAAAAAAATAAGTTACTCTATAATTACCTAAAACGGTAACTTTGCATGACGCAGATACAGTACCAACATTATTAAGTAAGGTTAAAGCGTATTTCCCCCCATCCGTCTTTTGAGCATTTGGCAATACAATAGTGGTATATGTGTCAGTATATTCTATACTATATTCGGATCCAGGTTCCTTGCCATTAACGGTCCAAATGGCATCAGGGGTAGGCTCCCCACTTATAGGAACTTTTATTACAAGAGTATCCCCGGCATTTACCTTAACATCCTCAAGGTAGGCTTCATCGATGTAGGGCATAACTGTGAATAAAATATTTTGACGATATATACATTAACAATAAAAAACTAAATACCGAATCTAGACTTTGCAATAATTGTTCGTGATGGGTCACTTGGTTGACCGTCCCCTCCTTTATTCACGGCTTTGACTCTGAATTGATAACTATCTCCGTGATTTAAATTATCGACAGTCAATCTAGTGATATCAGGTGGTATAGCAGTGAGTATCTTATTTTGCGGTGACGGAAATACAATGTCGTTGATTGACACCGGGGACCATGGAATACTGGAAATCATGGCAGGATCAACATATGAAACGTCTCGCATTTCGATAACGTATCCAGTTATAGGGGAACCGCCATCTTTTCTGGGTGGTTCCCAAGACATTTCAACTTTGTTTTTATCCCAATCCAAAATCTCGGGAGTTCCGGGCTTATCAGGCGTATCAAACGGATTTTTCGCGACGATCGTATCGCGAGTTGAGAGCGGTTCACTCTCGCCCATTTTATTTACCGCTTTAATCCTGAATTTGTATTCGTGATCTTTAGATAATTTTCCAACATCAAATTCGCATTCATCAGCAGGAGTCGTTCCTACTTCCTCCCAAAATCCATTAGCCAAATCCATTTTTTCGACTATATAATTATTTAAATTGCAACCACCTTCGTCTTTAGGTGGTTTCCAGCTTAGGGTGCAACCCTCGGCAGTCAAATCAGACACTTTTAATGGGCCAGTTGGAGCTGATGGCTTATCTGTTTTAAAAATTTATAATTAAAAATATATTTATTATATAGGTTTTGTTCTTTATATAATAATTAACATATAGACGCATACCTAAAACAATAACATTACAAGTCGCTGTATCTTTCCCTGAATCATTTTTCAAAGTTAAACACCATTTACCAGCATCCCCCCTCTCTGCTTCCCATATGATAATGGTCGTGTCTTTTTCCGTATTTTTAACAGATGTTCTGCCATCTGTTTTTAATTCCTTTATAAAGATTATGTAAACAAACATATGTTTAAAAGGAATTATAAAACTTGATCATCACGTGTCCAGATTACGTCAGGAGTTGGTTCCCCACTTATTGGAATGATAAATTCTATTTTTTGCCCAGCTTTAACTCTTAAATCTTGCAAAGCAAATGGTCCAATTTTAGGAGCAGCTATTAGTTATATAAAATAAAATTAATTAATATGACAAATGTATTCATTACTAACCATATCTATCTTTTGATAGATGTTTAGCGGTTGGTATACTAGCTTCTCCTGGGCCGGCTTTGTTAACGGCCACCACCCGAAATTGATATTCTCCACCTTCGTCCAAATTATTGAGGGTAAAATTAATGGTGGGCTCAGATGTGGCGGGAATTTCTGCCACCTTGGCGAAATCTCCTACTCCCTTTCCTTCCTTGGCTTCAATTACGTAACTTGTTATCGGGGAACCACCATCGCTTAAAGGCGCATCCCAGCATAAATCCACTCTATTCTTATCCCAGTCTGTTATTTTTGGCTGTGATGGTGCTGTAGGTGCAGCTATTTTTATCATAATATATATAATTCTCATTTTCATAATTAATTCAACGATAGAAATGATACTCCAAAGTAGATGTATACATTATATACATATATTTATTACTGAATGGTGGTTTGGCAGTAACGATGGATGATGAAGGGCTGGGTTCACTTGGACCAGCGGCATTTACAGCAACCACGCGATACTCGTAATCACGATTAGGAGTCACTGTGTCGTCATTAAAATTAGTATCCTAATAATAATAAAAAACGTTTGCATAATCCCACAAATAAAATTATAGATATATATATACCTTAATTAATTGAGGATTGACTTTGACCCATCTACCCGTTTTGCAGTCTTTTCTCTCGACATCGTATCCTTTGATTGGCGAGCCTCCATCATTTCTAGGTTTATCCCAAGAGATGGCAATGTTATTAAAATCCTGATCTTCGATTATGGGTTGGGAAGGAGGTTGCGACTTATCTAAGCAATTAAAATAGTAATGAATAATAAGTTGCAATCATATTTTATAGTTTACCGTAGGGATTTTTAGCTTTTATAGACTCGGTACATTCGAGCGGTTTTGACAATCCGTAAATATTTTCGGCCATAACTCGAAATTTGTAATTATGGCCTTCGATTAATTTCGGGACCGTGAATTTTGTTCCATCTACAAAGCTACTAACCGGAACCCAATTACCCGCCTTTTCGTCGAATTTTTCGACCGTGTAGTTACTAAAAAATAATTTTTTTTAAATAATAAATGCGATGTGTCAATTCCGATATCTTTTTTTTTAAGTACTCTATATCCGCTCCTCCATTATCCTCGGGTGGTTTCCAATTCAAAGTTGCGCTATCTTTCGTTACATCGCTGATTTGCAGAGGACCTTTAGGCGGAGAAGGAACATCTGCATTTAAATGAAACAATATATGACTCTCAGTAGAAAGATATTAGGGTGAGTAACGTACCTAACACGATTACGTTTATTGTATGAGTGTCCGTGCCAGTTGGATTACTGAGCGTCAACGTATAGGGACCGGTATCCTCGCGCTTAGCGTTCTCGACATTTAATATCGTATTTTTGGTAGTATTATCGATACTCACTCTTGGATCGGATTTATTTATCGGTATCGATTCCCTAGTCCAAACAACCGTTGGCGCAGACTCCCCGACAAATGGTACATTCAATTTAAAGGTTTGGCCAGCTTTGACCTTTATATCCTGCATAGCGGATCGGTCAATCTTTGGTGCAACTAATTTGACATTATTAGATTATATTTTTGCAATTAAAATGTCGTTAAACGACCGAGATAATTTATCTTATATCAGAGATCGGGCAGGTCAGCATCGAAACCCTCAGCCCAGGTAAGCAAGGGAGTCAAACTCGGGTGGTCATTTTTGTCAAAATACGCGTAATTGACAAAGAAAAGTTATTTGAACAGTTAATTTATAATATAAAATTTTGTTAGGATAATTGAAAGGTTTAAATGTGTAAAAAGGTAATTGAAAGGCAAATCAAATGACGATTATATATAATAATTTATTTGATGGGTATGCAATTTTTAGTAATATAAATAGTGAGATCTAAAATGTAATAATTCAAGATTATGAAGGAAGGAAAAGAGTTTTTATAATTTTTTAACTTTATATTTTTACGTTTCAGTTTTATTTTATGTTGTGTTTTAGAAAATGATTTTGACTAACTATATGTATGTATATTTTTTAATAAAATTAAATTTTTCATCTCCAATTCTTGATCAAGAATGAAAGAAAGAAAGAAAGAAAGAAAGAAAGAAAGAAAGAAAGAAAGAAAGAAAGAAAGAAAGAAAGAAAGAAAGAAAGAAAGAAAGAGAACCGATTTTTCAAAATGCCTAACTCGATACTTTAGGCAGAAATATATTGCTTAAGTCTCGAGATTTTGATAATATGTATCTAAAACCTCTGTTCCTTCTGGAAGCAAAATCTTCAGGCTTGCGTAATATTTTTCTGGATAAAATTTTAGCAGACATCCCAATCATCAAAATATTTAAGGAAGAAATGAGCTATAGATATTTACTAGAGATTATACATCAAAAACTTTATCAGGATCAAGAATAATTTCCATAAAATTGTCCAGACCGAACAGTAAATTGTGAATATTGAAAAAAATCACGGGCAAAACATTTCGCTTAAATCAAGACTTTGTATGTTTAAACTGCCCTACTCCGTTAATACTTTCTAAGATAATTTATCGATCCAGATAAATTAAAAATGCATGCACTTATAATAACCACGTATATTTTATATATACATATCGTATATCAATAATATTTTACGAAATTTGGGCTTAACGATTATAGGAACCGTGGCTTCGCTAGGCTTACTCTCGCCGGCTTTATTCACGGCTTTTACTCTAAACTGGTATTCATGATTTTCCGACAGGTTAGGGACCGTAGCTTGCGTATTATCCCCAGAAATGTCTATAGCAGGAATCCATAAACCCGTTGCATTATCCTATTTGTTGTAGTTGTGTATTTTATATATATATGTATATGTCAATCAAATAATGTTTTAAAATGTAGATTTCGTAAGATTTTATATTTGATTTTATACAAATATCACGTGACAATCTTATATAAGTTATGTGGGTCGTATATCAAAATGTCGATCAATTCAGAATTTTATTTTGTCTCGGGGATTTTTTTTTAAAAAATAAATTATTAGGATTTTTTGGTTTTCCATATGTTTTTCTTTATTAAATGACATTTTGGCCACGTGATTCATTACTTTTATATGATTGTGCTTTTGATAAGAAGAATATTGGAAATAAAAGACATTTTTTGCATTGCGACTGCGCATAATCATTATAAAGGAATGATTTTTAAAAATAAATTGATTTCCAATACTTTTTTTTCGATGATATATTTTTCAATAGGTGCTCCGCCATCTTTAGCCGGAGGATCCCATTTTAGAACGACTCTATCTTTATCGTAATCCACTACCTCGACGTTAGTGGGAGGAGAAGATTCGTCTATATAACAAATTTGAAAAAAATAAAATATATGTAAAATAAAGGAACAATTTCGTCATAATTACCATATGGATTCTTGGCGATAATCTCCTTTTCCGTTATTAAGGGTTTAGATTCACCCTGACTGTTAACTGCTTTTACCCTGAATTTATATTTTTTCCCTTCGATCAATTTGGGAACCTATAAGTAGAGTTTATATAAAATAATCGATTATAAACGAAATAATATTAATACCTTGAAGGACGTATCTTGCGTATCGGCTACGTGTGTCCAATTATCGCGCGAAACGTCGTATTTTTCAATGGCGTAATTTTCTACTGGGCATCCTCCATCATCGGCAGGAGGCTTCCAAGATAACTGAGCACTTTCCTTGGTAATTTTTGAAACGTTTAGAGGGCCCTCGGGCTCAGACGGCTTGTCTTTAATGATCAAAATAAGTTATTCGATTACTCAAAAAAAGATTTTACCTATGACTGTCACGTTACAGGAACCGGAAGTGGTTCCGGAAGTATTCGTGAGAGTTAGGGTAAATCTTCCGCTATCCGATCTTTTCGAATCTCCAATGATTATAAACGTAAAGTTCGGTTTATTCTCTATCGATGTTCTGTCTTTAGGGACCACCACCTAATTTAACACGCGAATCAATTAGGGTTATTTTAATATAAAATAAATTTTAATTATTAACTTTGTCATTTATTTTCCACTCAACATCTGGAGGAGGTTCGCCCTGCATAGGCACCTTAATTTCGATAGGCGTACCAGCTTTCACTTTCAGATCTTGCAAAGCGAGCTTATCCAGTTTGGGGGCGACTAATTTATCGATAATAAATATAATATATTTGTTGTGCGGATAAAAAAAAATATTCCGCTTACGAAATCGCGGTTTGGCGATTATAGCTCTTGAAGGATCGCTGGGTTGACTTGGGCCCGCTTTGTTGACGGCCTTAACGCGAAACGAATATTCTCCGCCTTCGAGTAGATTATCGATAGTGGCTTTAGGTTGATTTGGCGGAACTTCCTTAACTTTGACCCACGTACCACTTAAGGGGTCTTTCTTCTCTATCAGGAAGGCCGTTATTGGCGAACCCCCGTCGTTAAGCGGGGGAGACCATTCTAAATCGACATGGTCCTTATCCCAATCTGTCACCTGCGGTTGCCCGGGCTTATCTGGTTCGTCTTAATTTAAAAATGTTTTTTAAAAAAAATGTTATTATATTCCAGCTGTTTACATTGTTGGACTTCGTTACTTAGATTAGCAAGAAATGAGGACTCGTATAAAATTCTAAGAAATATATTCTAATTTTCACCGAAAGGATTTTTAGCAAGTATGGCCTCTCTAGACGTTAAGGGTTCTGATTGTCCTTGGCGATTAACCGCTTTGACTCTGAACTTGTAGGTATGGTTAGGAGTGAGCGTTTCGACCTGTATACGTGTTCATTATGATAATAAATTTATATAATACTTTATTTTTTGTAAAAAAAATTTATGGTCGAACCGAGAACTCGGTTCCTTTACAATCTCCCGCCAATTCCCATTTCCCGTCTTCCGGATCCATCTTTTCTATCATGTACCGCTGAATGTCGGATCCGCCATTGTCCTCTGGCTCATCCCAAGTTAACGTACAAGAGGATTTCGTTATATCGGATATCTTTAGGGGACCTTCTGGAGTGGAGGGTTTATCTAAGTAAATTTTAATAAATTTAGCATTTAAAAGTAGGCTAATCTTTCCAAATATCATTTATATTTTTTTTATACCTAAAACTATAACATTAATTTCGGCTTGATCTTCCCCGACACTATTTTTTATCGTCAAAACATATTTGCCAGAATCACCCCTTTGCGCGTTTTTCTTCGTTAATTTAGCGATTTCGGTAGTCTTAATATCGGTCCCAACTCCAGGCACTATTACCTGGCCATTCGAAGTCCATTTTGCTTCCGGAGGAGGTTCGCCAGTAACGGGTAAAGCGATTTCTAACGTTTCTCCGGCTTTTATCTTAATATCCTCGATTTTTCTTTTATCGATTTTAGGCGCAACTAAACAAAAAAATTAAAATAAAATAATTTTTCTCTTATAATTTGAACTGCACATTATGTTAGAAGAGGGGGGTTAAGGGGTTAAGTTTGAGTTAAGGGGTAGGGTTAGAGGTTGTCAGGGGGTTAGGGATATCCAATAAAATTTAATCTATAGTTAAATTGTATAACCGAAACGGGGTTTAGCCTTCACAACATCGGACGCATCTGACGGTTCACTAGGTCCCGCGTCGTTGACAGCCTTGATTCTAAACTGATATTCATCGCCTTCCGTTAGATTAGGCACTTTCGCGCTCGTTTCATTCGATGGGACCTTAATAATTTCGAATAAGGTTTTTGTCAAATTTTAAAATTTATATCTTTATTTTAAATTGTCCTAACCTCGAGCGCGGGCTCCCAGAAGGAAGAAAACTTGGGTTTTTTCTCGACAATATAAGATTGGATAGGATTTCCGCCATCATTATCCGGTGGATTCCAACTCAATTCAACAAAGTCCGTATCCCAATTGTCGATTTTCGGTTTCGTGGGCTTGCCAGGTTCGTCTAAAAAAAAATCGTTCGATGATATATATAAGTGTTTTTTTGAATTTTTGTTTTTTTCGCCATTTTATGTTTTTTTGTTTTTTACTTACCATATGGATTTCTAGCTAAAATTTCGGTTTCGTTGGTCAAGGGAGCACTTTCGCCTTCGCTATTTACAGCTTTAACCCTAAATTTATAGATTTTATTGGGGGTCAAATTGGAAACGGTAATCCCTTCGTCCGTCGTTTCATCGGCTAATGTCCATTTTCCGGTGGATTTATCGAATTTCTCAATCTGGGATCCCAATCAAATATTTTAAAAAAAAATTAGATTATAGAAAATAAAAATGTATCATCTTTATATATATATACCCTGTAATTTTCTATATCGCAACCACCGTCATCCTTGGGCTTATTCCACGATAATTTCGCGGACGTCTTGGTGACATCCGATATTCTCAAAGGACCTTCTGGAACAGAAGGAACATCTTAGATATGTTTTTTTTTTTTTTTAAAAAACAAACAATTTTATACCATTATCAACGTGTATATATTGTATATTATGTGTTATTATCGCTGTCGCTAAACGACTCGATTTGAGCCTGTTCTTAAATACGGCTATCTCAATATTTTATCCAGAAATGTATTACGCAAGCCTAAAGATTTTGGTTAGATAATACAAAGGTTAAGACATCTATTAGCAAAATCTTGAGATTTAGACAACATTCTTTCACCTAAAATACTGAGTTTCCGGTTTTTTTAAAAAAAATTGATTCATATCGAGCCATTTTAACAACACTAGTTTAATATGATTTATAAAATTAAAAAAGGAGATATTATAATTATAATTTATCCAACCTAATACTGTAACATGAATCGCGGCTTCATCTTCTCCTGTATCGTTTTTAACTTTTAGAGTATATTCTCCAGTGTCTCCTCTTTGTACACCTTTCTTCTGCAAGTTCGTAGCTGTGTCAGTATCGTTTTGAGTAAAATCGCGTTTATCTATCGGTTTGCCTTTCAAAAACCATGTCTTCGGCAAAAAAAAATATAAGAAAAATGTATTAGCAGATTCATCGTAAAAAAAAAATTCTTAGTGTCTTAACGGGTGTAAGAATGTGCAAAAAAATATATTAGAATTTTAACAGCAATATTTAGAGAATTTTAGTAGTTCTAAGTCCCGCACCTGGGATTAAAATATCCCAAAACGAGTTTACAAACAAAGTCTTTAAGAGATAAAAGGGGGAAACAATTTTATTCTTAGGTACCTTTTCAGGAGGAGGTTCACCCGACACAGGAAGATTTATATCAAGTTTCTGTCCTGCTTTTAGTGTAATGTCCTTCAATTTCGATTTGTCAATTTTTGGCGCCACTATTTAAAATGAAAAAAAAAATTAGAAAATTTATATAGATCTTTTAAAATTTGTAATTTAAATGATAAAATATGGGATTTATTTATTTTCTTTTTATTAACCAAATCTAGCTTTAGCGATTTGTGGATTGGATGCATTGCTAGGTGATCCAGGGCCGGCCAGATTGACAGCCTTAACTCTAAATTCGTAAGTTGTCCCTTCAATCAAGTTAGGAACAGACGCTTCGCATTTATCAGCTGGAACCTAATTTCACGAAAAATAATAATAATAAAATGTAAATGGGTTAAGTGGATTTTGTATCTAGATTTTGTATCTAGATTTTGTCTACAAACCTCCATAGCCTTGGACCAGTTAGGGGATCCTTTCTCCTTTTTTTCGATTACGTACGCCGTAACCGGGGCTCCTCCATCTTTCTTTGGAGGGGTCCATTTTATGTCGATCCTATTTTTATCCCAATCGGTCACTTGTGGATCACCAGGTGGGTCGGCTTCGTCTGTATAAATTAGGAAAAGAAAATTTATAAAAAAAACCAAATATCAGAGACCGACCTGCAGAGGTATACCATTTGTACGACCCGGCCCGGATTTTTTCGATCCGGCCCGGGTTTTTTCGATCCGGCCCGGGTTTTTCGATCCGGCCCGGGTTTTTTATATTTTTAGGCCCGGTCCGGATTTTTTTTAAAAATATATTATATTTATTTATGATTTTTATAGCATAATGGCGATTTCAAATATTTGGTATTCAAATATAAAGACCACGTAATCTTGTAATAGTTAACCATTTAATATATTTAATTAGAATCACCATTATATTAGTAGTGTACAATATATATATAAATAATTGTATGGAGACAAATGTGTATGTACCCCATGGATTCTTAGCTATAATTGGAGTTTCCAGTGTTAAGGGTTCTGATGAACCTTGGGAATTTATGGCTTTCACTCTAAATTTATACTGCTTTTTGGCTACCAAATTTTCAACAACGCAAGCTGTGCCTACAAAAAAAAAAGAAATTCATTTATCGTTAAAGATTACTTTTTTTTTGATGATAAAAAAAAAGGTTATTTAATTATTTATCTATTCGAGTAGATGTATCTGTTAAAACCAGAAATTTCAGCGACAGGTAACCAAGTCCCGGGTCTATCAGTATCCATTTTTTCTACCAAATATTTGTCCACGGGTAAACCGCCGTCATCTTCCGGTTTTTTCCATGATAAACTGCATTTATCCGCAAATATATCGGTAACCTCCAATGGACCGTTGGGTGGGGTAGGTTCGGCTATTCACGATTTACAAAAAATATATAATCATAGTATATATGGTACAATAAATAATATAAATTATACGCCTAATTAAAGCTAAAAAGTAATCATTATAACTTGGTTATATAAAATCGATATAATTATTAAGGGGTTATTATTTTACTTAGAACGGTTATATTTAGAGTGGCCTCATCTTTGCCGGACGGATTTTTAACGGAAAGATGGTAGCTTCCGGTATGCTTCCTGTCAGCTGATTTTATGGCTATTTTGCTCGATTTATCGTCGTTCACGATTTTCAAACTTTGAGGGGAAAAAAATATTTTGATTTTAAAAATAAAGTATTTGAAAAAATAACCAAATTTTTATATACAAAATACATTTTTTTTTGTATCGAAACAAAAAAATAAAACTAAACTTTGAATCCGACTCTAACGGACATTTTTCCAAAGTCCACGTTTTCTCGGGTGGCGGTTGACCGCTAACCGGGATGCTCAGTTCAAATTTCTGCCCCTTTTTCAGTACTATGTCGTGGATCACACTTTTATCTATTTTCGGAGGACCTATTACCACGAAATAAGGGTGGGTTATTAATTAATATGAACCGAATATTTAAAAAAATAATGATAATTCAATATAAAAGATAAAAATCCGTTAGATTACACGGTCTGGATTTAGCTAAAACGGGCAAGGTTGCTTTGCTAGGTTCCCCGGCTCCTGCCTTATTTAGAGCTTTAACTCTAAACTCGTATTCGGTGCCTTCTTTCAATCCCGGAACTTCAGCTTCGTTCCTGCTAGCCGAAACCTATAACATTATAATTTATAAAATTAATTATATATATATATATATATATAAAGGAATAATTTATCGAAATAATATATAATTAAGAGCGAAATATTACTTTAGGGCCCTTTGTCCATGATCCCCCTTTAGGCTTAAACTCCACTTCGTAATTTTCTATAGCCGCACCGCCGTCGCTCTCCGGAGGTTCCCATTTTACGGTGATCGCGTTTTTATCCACGTCCGTTACGACTGGATTATTCGGCGCACTAGGAGGATCTAAATTTTATGAAATTATTAATCATTATTTTCAACAAGTTTTTATTTGGGAATCGAATCAGAGCTAAAACCGGAAGTAAAACCTACTCTAATCAGAAAATTTTTCCAAGAACCGCAAATCGCCTTCTAATAAAAGTTCAATTTATTTATGTAAATTATTCAAAAATTCGTGAGATTCATTTTAGAGATTAGGAAACAAGGATCAAATATAAAAACTGGAAAAAGAATCTTAAATTTTTTTTTCTTTAGGAACCTTATAATTTTCCCAAAATTTTATTTTAACAAAATTCAAGAGTTGTTAAAAGATACTTTTTAAATGGATCTAGATACAGATACATCGTGTAAAATAATATCTAGATACAGATATTTTAACCAAAAATCTATCTAGATACAGATACAGATACCACATTTTTATATCTAGTATCCTTTAACAACTCTGCAAAATTCTAATAATCTATAAATGTAGAAAATTTTTAGTACTCCATGGATCCTTTGCCAATATCGGCTGATCGATTTCTAAGAGATCTGATTCGCCTTCTTTATTGATAGCCTTCACTCTAAATTTGTATTCGCTGCCAGGGTTTAGCCCAGTTACCTATAAAAATCGAATTAAAATTCATATTCTTTTATATATATTCTTACGTTAAATGTTGGTTCTTGCCCAGCTGTTTCTCCCACCTTTTCCCACTTCCGCTTCTTCATATCCATTTTTTCGATCACGTAATTTGTTATGGGCGTACCGCCATCGTCCTCAGGCTTTTCCCAACTCAGCTTACATCTGTCTGAAAATATTTCTTTAGCTTCTAAAGGCCCCTTAGGCTTTGACGGTTTTCCTGAAATTGGTATAGAAGTAAAAAAAATGATTATTAAAATAAAATAGGTTTAAAAATAAACCTATCACGGTTATATTCGCAACAGCTGTGTCGGATCCAGAGTCATTTTTGGCTACTATCGTGTATGTTCCCATATCGGCCCTTTGAGCGTCTTTGATGGTAAAAATGGTCTTATAATCTTCGTTCACAATCGTTAAACTATAAAAATTTAACAATTAATATAGGCGCGTCTTATAATATATATGCGTATATTCATACCGATCTTGAGATTTAATTGGTTTCTCTTTAAAGGTCCATATCTTTTCTGGCGGGGGTTCTCCTTTAATGGGAAGTTCGAAGTGTACGACTTCCCCTACTTTAACTATAATTTCCTTCTCTATGGCGCGTTTATCGATTCTTGGTTTTACTATTTCAATAAATTATGACTTATATATATATAAATATATCTAGAAATAATAATACCGTTTCTGGCTTTGGCTTCCTGAGGTTTAGTAGGTTCGCTAGGAGTTCCTGGTCCGGCCTTGTTTACCGCCCTGACCCTGAACTGATAATTGCCACCTTCTTTCAGTCCATCGATGGTGAAGGCGTTCACGCTCGAAGGAACGGTGCCAACCGGGGCGAAATCTTTATCGTTCTTTTCTTTTTTCTCGATTACGTAATCCGTTATTGGAGCACCGCCATCTTTTTTAGGTGGAGTCCATTTTATGTCCATCCTATTTTTGTCCCAATCGACCACTTCTACATTTCCGGGTTTATCGGGTTCATCTAAAATACAAAATAAAAAAAAATACATAAACTTGGTATACGTTAAATTCACCACTAACCGAAAGGGTCCTTCACCAACACCGGAACAGCTGTTGTTAAAGGCAGAGATTCTCCGTATTTGTTGACAGCTTTCACTCTAAATTTATAGGGAGTCTTATTTTCGAGATCGGATATCTTCAGTTTTTCACTTTTAGTTTCGCCGCATTTCACCCATTGTTGCCCACCTTATGTTTTATGACAAAAAATAAAGTCGTAATGTCACAATAACGAGGATTACCTTTAGTATCTTGTTTTTCGACAACGTAGGTAATGGGATCTCCTCCATCGTCGTCCGGTTTGGTCCACGATAAGGTGACCGAATTTTTGGATATTTCTGACGCATCCAGAGGTCCTTTGGGAACTTGAGGTTTATCTAGAATTTAAAAATAGTTAAAACAACGGTATTAGAGTTATTTTAAAAAAAAATACAGTTTTAAAACAAAAGATATTACCTACGACTAAAACGTTCGCGCTCGCTTTTACAGTGCCAGAGCTATTCGTGCATATCAATAGGTACGGATTCGTATCTCCTCTTTGGGCGGATTTGATAGTCAATTTCGTTCCTTTATCCGTATTTTTAATGGTGACACGATCACCACTTTTGAGTTCCACTTTGTCCTTGTCATCTTTACCCACGTACCAATGGTTTTCAGGCGCAGGCTCACCACTCACTGGAATGTCGTAGTCAATCGTTCCGCCAGCCTTGACAACTAAATCCTTCATCTTGATATCGTCAATTTTTGGCGACACTAAGAATTTTAAATTTGTCAAAATATAAATGACAAAAAAATATTTTCTGGATAACATTAATAAAATGTAATTTACCAAAGCGATCCTTTAATTTTATAGTATTCGAGGCATTGCTAGGTTCAGACGGACCTGCGTCATTAACTGCCGTTATTCTGAATTCCATCTCATCACCTTCTTTCAATTTATCGATGGTAGCTATTTCATAAAATTTTGTTGTAAGTTTTATTATTATATTAGGAGGAAAATTAAAATACTTTCCAATTTGTCGGGTTTCAAATCTTTCATTTTCTTCCAATCTTTCTGATTTTTGTACCTGGATTCAACGACATATCCTGTTATAGGAGCTCCGCCATCGCTGGCGGGAGCTTTCCACTTTAATTTCGCGAAATCCTTTCCCCAGTCTGTCACTTCGAGATCGTTCGGTTTAGAGGGCTCGTCTATAAATATAGAAATGCTAATATAAACAACCTCTAAATTATATTAAACCATATGGTTTCTTGGCAATGATAGGCGTAACAGTTACTAAGGGTTCTGATAGACCAGCAGAATTCATGGCTTTAACGCGAAATTTATATTGGTGCTTCGCCTCCAGACCCTCGACTTTAAATGAGCATGCTTCAGCAATTCCACATTGAACCCACCCGGCTTTTGCTAAATTAAATTGAACTATTAATGATATATGCTAATCGTATAAATTACATTTAACATCTTGTTTTTCGATCACATAATTTTTGATATCAGTTCCTCCTGTATCTTTTGGGGCTTTCCAACTTAAGGTACAGCGGTCTTCGTTGATATCCTTCACTTCTAGTGGACCTTCGGGTGTGCCCGATTTCTCTGATTAATGTTAAATGAAAGAATCAAGTGATATATACAAAAAAAAAATTTCCTATACCTATGATTTGTAGATTTAAAGGAATAGTGTCACTTCCAGCTGTATTTATCATTTCCAGCTGATAAGTCCCCGTATCGTCCCTTCGCGGTTTCTTGAACTTTATCGCGATACCTTGAGGAGTAACTTTAACGTCAACATCGCCTCTTTTCAAGGGTTTCCCGTCCTTCATCAACGTAACTTTCCCGGGAGAACCTAACCCGTATAAGAGTAATATTTTTCATAATTTAATAATTTATAGTGGGCTAGGAAAGAATTTACCGTCATATGGAATCAAAATGTCCAAAGGGGTTTCGACTTTGCCAACTATAGTTTCAGTTGGAGCGATCAATTTTGGCGGTATGTCACCTGTGTAAAATAATGTATAATTAATTTGCAAATGGTTAAATGATTGTGTAGTAAACCTTGCTGCATTTCTAATCTACAAGATGAGGCGATATTTCCGGATTCAACAGTGTATTCCCCGGCATCGTCCAACTCCGCGTCGTTAATGTTCAATTTTAAGGTACCCGTAGATTTGTCCGTTTCGATTTGAAATCTTTAAGAGTTTAATTATTGCAGAATTTATAGTCTTTAAATGTAAAAAGAAAATAAGTCAAAAAAAAAACCTTCCGCCTGGTTTTATTAGTTTTCCGTCTTTAAGCCATTTGACAGGCTCGGTTGGATCCTTAACTTGGCATTCCAGCGTCAATTTTTGCCTAGTCACACCTTTCAAATTCTTTAAAGCCTTCAAGAAGATGTTAGCAGCTTCAAATTGTTCGTTTAAAATTGATAATGTAATTAAAATAAATTTACTATTAAAATAAAGCAAGATCCATTGAAACAAAAAAAATATTCAAAATATGTCTTTCTTTCTTTCTTTCTTTCTTTCTTTCTTTCTTTCTTTCTTTCTTTCTTTCTTTCTTTCTTTCGTTTCTTTAGTTTTATAAATAAATAAGATATATGTGAGGGAAAACGTTCAATCGTAAGATGACAGTCAGTTTCGTCAGCGTTAGTTTGACAGCTGTATTGGTCCTCGTCTGTCAGAGCACATTTTTCGATCAGTAACTTTCTTTTCTTGCCGGCAACCTCCAAAACATATCTCTTGTCATCTTCTTTAATAGCGTTTTTACCCTATTTTAAAATTTTTTTTATAATAGTTAGAGCATGGTTAATTAATAATCAAACAATTAGAATTATTTAGGTAAGCATTATAAATAAATACAAGTTAAGTAACTTAATATAAATGTGTAATAAACCTTAAACCAGATCACGTGAGCATCTTTATCGCTAACTTCGCATTCCATAGCAACCAAATCCTTCTCATTCACTTTTTGAGATTTTAATCCTCGTATAAACTGATATTTCGGTTCTATAACACAACAGTTACAAGTTATATTATGTATATAATAATATTTTTTAAAAAAGATACATTTAAATTTAATGTTTTATGAAAAATTAGGATACCTTTATATAATTTATTCGTTTTAGATAATAAACAAATTATATTAAATTAATAATATAAATTACCTAAAACGTTTAATATGGTAGATGTGTAAGTTTGATCGTTAATTTTGCAAACGTATTCTCCAGCATCCTCTAAACGACAATCCGTGATTTTTAAAGTGCATCTCCCCATCAAATCCTTCGCTATGCCATACTTTGCGTCAATCTGCGATTAGTAATACGTACAAAAGCGTTTTATAATAATTAAATAAAATTTAGAAAAACTCTTTATATACCTCGTGGAGTTAAATAAGATCTCAAAGGGGGTTAAAAATTATTAATCAGATCCTTGAGTATATAGCCTTATTAAATTTATCAGAATATTTTATGACGGACTGGTGTCTGTTTAAATATTATTTTTTCCCCCTTTTTTTTTAGAAAGATACTAATCATAATAAGTTTAAGTTCTGATTTATGATAATACCAAAATAAAAAAAAATAATCTATAGAAATTTGAGATCTGTCGATTTGAAATCTTGAGTTGTCAGAACCCCAACACAGGAGTGTTTACATCCTATTTTCCACGAGAGCACTGAAGGATTAAGATCCAAAAAAAAATTATATTGGTATATACAGATCAAGGATTCCGAAAGCTAGTATGGAATTCAGGAATTTTAAACTTTTAAACAAACTTAATACTAATAGGGTTTTTTTCTGAATGGGCCCTAACCTGCCCCGGTTCAAAAATACGCCGGATTTTTAATTTATAAATTGGGAGAAGGTTAGGCGAAATATGGGAATCAAAAAAAAATGCTGATTTACTAAATGATTTAAAAAAAAAGTGTTATAGATGGGAAAGAAAACTCAAAATAAAATAATATGATACGTCAATAGGCTGTCCTTTAAAGTACCACGTCACGGGAGCTCTTTTATCGTTGACTTGACATTCTAACGTTGGCATCTTACCCATGTCTATTTCAACGTGTTTGGGCAATAATTTCTTGAAGGAGAAAATGGGGTCGGGTTCTAACAGATTGTCCAATAAAATCATTCATTCATTAAATATAATTATATTCAACATCACTATATTGTTCCCTGCAGCGATAGCCGGGGTCCTAAGCCCGGTTGGGAAATGAGGAAGGTTTGGCTGGTAGCCCCTTCTAAGTGACGCTCAGTGCATTCTCCAGCGGAAAGCGAAAAATATTTTTCAGGGCTACCGTCCTGACTCACAACCAAGGCGGTCAAAAAAAGTTAGCTTTGAGAAATTGCGAATAAATTGGGGTGGTTAGTTGGAATGTTGGAGCGTTGGCGGGCAAAAGTATGGAGTTGGCGAACACAGTAGAGAAGAGAAGGTTTGATGTCGGCGTATGCTTGCAAGAGACGAAACGATCGGAAGTCAAGGCTAAGGAGCTGGGAGAAGAGCATAAGTTGTATTGGGACAGTGGCAGAAAGGAATGGAGTGGGTATTATCTTGAATGAAAAGCTAAAAGTGTTAAAGTCAAAGAGGTGCTCGGATCATCGGCCTGCTTCCATCATAAGCGCCTAAGCTCCATAAGAAGAGCTGGAATAGGGTGTGCAAAAGATTCCGAAGGAGGATAAGTTGTTATTGTTATTGGGGGCCGATAACAAAAGATCGGGGTTCGAATGGTGGCGTATGACCTGGCGGTGATCAACACGTTTTTACAAAAAAGGACGGAACACTTGGTAACATATGAAAGTGGGCCTCATCGAAGTCAAGTTAATTTTTTTGCTGACCAGGAGCAGTTATCTATGGAAAGGATAACAAAATTATATCGGGGTAGACAGCATAGATCCGTAGTGTTGCAGTAGGTAAGGATGGTGTTCCAGCAAAAGAGAAGATCGCTTAAGGCCCCCCCCCGAACAAAATTCGATCGGTTAAAGTACGAGAGTTGACGAATCTCTATCCCACATCAGCAAGGATATTGTTAGGGAAAATTGACTGGATAGCGACTGGCAACATTATATGAAACGAGATGGCATAGAAATAAAAAAAAATTAGTGCCAATATTCTCGGAAAAACGAGCGATGAAGAGGGAGATCTGGTGGTAGAATCATGAGGTCGAAAATTGTGTCAGCAAGAAGAAAAGTCTGTATAAAGTATGGTATACTTCTCAAGACCTGAACCACAGAAAAGCTTATGAAGAGTTTTAAAAAATAGCGAAGAAAGCAGTGGGGGTGGCAAAGAACAGGGCATATGACGAGTAGGCTACTAAATTGGACTTGAAGGCGGGGGGGGGGGGATAAAGAATGACAAATTGGAAAAAAATAGGGGTAAAAAATCCTTGAGCATAAGGGTCATACGCAGCGTTAAAGAGGTTCGAAAGGTAGCGACGGCACTTTCAACCTTTCCCAAACGTTGAAAATATAAGGGATAGGGTTAGTTTCAATCCCAAGGTCCGCTAACATGATCAGCTATATTATGACCAACAAAGTAAAGTCTGAAATCCATTCTGTAGCATGGTTGGGTGCAGGCACAGTAGAAAGTGAAATTCTATCGAAGGAGAATAATGAATGCAAACTTACCAAAAGAAATCAAGGTTAAAAAAGTTTGTAGTCCTTTTTTTTTAATTACTAATTAGCCGAGTTGTTAAAAGATACTTTTTAAATGGATCTAGATACAGATACATCGTCTAAAATAATATCTAGATACAGATATTTTAATCAAAAATCTATCTAGATACAGATACAAGACACCATATTTTTATATCTAGTATCTAGATCCTTTAACAACTCTACTAATTAGATAAGATTAGAGTGCGGGAAGAAAGTGAAAGGCCATAATACGAGTAAAATGACGATAATATAATCAATATTCAAATTTTTTTTTTTAAATTGAGAAATTATACCAAACCTGCCACGTATAAGTTCCCCTGAGTTTGACAGGTGCCACAAACGCATATATATTTCCCTTTATCTTCCCTCGTCGGGTTTTTAATTATTAATTGCTGGTATTTCCCGTTCGTTTTAATGCCGTATTTCAAACCCGGAAATATTTCCGTTTTGTCCTTGTACCTTATTTTTCATATTAATTAAAAATAAGGGAAATTTATTTATGATTTATGTACAAAATATTGAAATTCCCCCTCAATTCCCACCTCATGTTTGATTGATATAAGAAGTGGTTGTACATAGTTTGGATATAATAATGTTTACTTTAGTGATCTGTATAGTGTTGTTAAACGGCTCAATTTGAGCCGATTTTTAAAAACGGCTAACTCAATATTTTATCCAGAAAAATATTATGCAAGCCCTAAAGAATTTGCTCATAGATGGCATATAGGATTGAACATCTATTGGCGAAATCTCGACGCTTAGGCATTATTTTTCTGCCTCATATGTTGAGTTAGTTGTTTTTAAAAATCGGCTCAAATCGAGCCGATTTTTAAAAACGGCTAACTCAATATTTTATCCAGAAAAATATTATGCAAGCCTAAAGAATTTGCTCATAGATGGCATATAGGATTGAACATCTATTGGCGAAATCTCGACGCTTAGGCATTATTTTTCTGCCTCATATGTTGAGTTAGTTGTTTTTAAAAATCGGCTCAAATCGAGCCGTTTAACAACACTAGATCTGTATTGAGGCCTAATTTTACAAACCCGGCCCGAAATTTTTTTACCGGTCCGACCCGGGTCGAATTTATTTAAATATAGAAATTAATTTTTTTTTAATAATTACTTCAAAATAAAAGACATATGTTATTATATGTGGCATCTAGTTTTCTATAAATAAAATCGACTATTTTTATTTATAACATAAAAAAATTTCAATATAAAAAATTGATAAGTTTAAGATATAATATATTTAAAGAAAATTTCCGAATCCCGACCAGACCCGGCCAAAATTTTCTCAAAAAATATTAGGACCGACCCGGTCCGAACCCGATTTTTAAAAACGTTACCCAGAAAAATATTGCCTAAGCCTCGAGACTTCGCTAATTGGAGTCTAGACCTCTGTGCCCATCTATGAAGTAAAAATCTCCAGGCTTGCGTAATATTATTCTAGATAAAATATCGAGTTAGCCGAACACTAAGTTCAGCGACTATATCCGATACAAGATAATTATCTTTTCGTATTTAACATATTGTATCTGCAAAAGTAGGCCCAGCCCGTATCCGGCCCGAACCCGAACCCGGCCCGAATAATATTTTTTATGAAAATTCTCCGGGCCGGGTCGGGCCTTAAAATTATTTATTAATTTTATGTCTAATTTTTCATGATTTTCTAGGAAGTAGAACGCGCCATATAACATATTATCGTTTATTTTGAGTAATTATAAGAATTAATTTCATATATTTAAATAAATTCTGGCCGGGCTTGAAAAAATTAGGCCCGATGCAAATCGCTAATTCACATAGTGTTTACTTTATAAACTCGACTAAAATAAAAGGCTATTATTAGATTGCGAGCCATTTAAATCCCTTTCACGATAAGATCATTCCTTATTAATTTTTTGTTTTTTAAAAAAAAAATGAATGGAATAAAAAAACCATTTGGGTTTAGTATCCGGTTTGAAGTATATGCACTCGAATTCAACGCTCGGGTCCGTTTTTTCCTTGCAATATTTGTCGCATAGATTTTTTTCGAACTCTTCAACAGGCTTGGATAACAGGGGAGGGGGTGGGGTAAAATAGTTATTTGCGTTTAGAAAGATTTATAAATGATAAAGATTAAAAAAAATGATTGAAGAGAAGAGAAGAGAAGAGAAGAGAAGAGAGAGAGAAGAGAAGAGAAGAGAAGAGAAGAGAAGAGAAGAGAAGAGAAGAGAAGAGAAGAGAAGAGAAGAGGAAGAGAAGAGAAGAGAAGAGAAGAGAAGAGAAGAGAAGAGAAGAGAAGAGAAGAGAAGAGAAGAGAAGAGATTTTGTTTCAGGAATATACATTTCCCGGCAAAATCAAGATTTTTAAAATTTAAAAATTAAAAGTTGAAAAGATTAAACATTTTTGCCGCTAAACATAAAACACAAATTTTTTTTAGTGATTCCAGATTTTTAGCCCCGGATTCATAAATTACTCAAATCTACAATGGAATGATTTACGTTAATAAATTTACTTTAAAAAGAATTGTAAATGATGTAAACATTTATTGTTTCTAATAAGAAAGAAATTAATATATATGTTAGAGAGTCAATGTGACTTTTTGGCCCGGCAATAGGTTATATTTTTTTTAGGCGCGTATTTTGAAATTTAAAAAAAAATTGATTTTAATCGGAAATATATTCAATCATGTTTGGATTACCTCACTCTGTAAATTACAAATTTTAGGCAATTCCGCCATGAACCTTTTGAATTTGTATGATAGGTTATTCTTAAACATATCTCCAAATATACTTCCGGCAAGAAAGAAAGAAAGAAAGAAAGAAAGAAAGAAAGAAAGAAAGAAAGAAAGAAAGAAAGAAAGAAAGAAAGAAAGAAAGAAAGAAAAGAGAAAGAAAGAAAGAAAGAAAGAATTTAAAAAAAAAACAAAAAATAACACAATGCCGATAACATATACAAAATATATTATCAAAAAAAACAGAAGGATTTTGAATTAATAAATATACTTGAAATTTAGAAATAGTAAATTAATTTTTAGGTAAGGGGGCCCAATATATTATGGAGATCTACAATACTAAATTAAGTTAATTAGTGATGTTAAATCATCTAACTTTGACCAATTCCAATATGGCGTCGTCAAGATTATCCCCTCCCCTAACAGCCTAGTGAGGAAAACCAATTTATAGAAAAATATTACTTTTTAAAAATAAATACAAAGACAACTTAATAAATAACCCGTCTTCGTTCGTCGAAATTAGCTAAGAATTTTCTTACCGAATCGGTGAATTTAAATGTTGTTTCAACACATATACTGCGGTGTTAGTGTTGTTAAAACGGCTCGTTTTAACTCGATATTTCATCCAGAAAAAAATATTACCCAAGCCTGTAAATTTTACTCATAGAAAGGAACAAAGGGGTCTAAGGCATGGAATATCTGAATCTCGAGTCTTAGGCGATATTTTTCTTGCTAAAATATCGAGTTAGCCGTTTTTAAAAATCGGCTCAAAACGAAGCCTTTCAAACAACAAAGGTTACTAAAATTAATTCCTAAAATTTCCGGATAGAAAATTCCCAACTTAATTTTCGATGAGCTCTAAAGGGGGAAACGATGATATATAATTAACAAATTAAATATGGAACACTGCAAAAAAAAAATAAATTAAAACCTTTAATTTTTCTTTGAGCAATTCCTCTTCCTCCTGCTGTTTCAGTTCTCCCCAATTGGGATCATTCTCATCCAGTTCCCATTTTTCGTATTCCCTTTTTTTTTTTTTAAAAAAATAAAATTATATACATAATATACGCCGAATTGAATAATTTTATACCTGTGTTTCAATAAGGCGCGGAAGTCAAGTCCGTCAGACGCTTGTAATTTAAAAGAAACATATATAAGTGTCGCGTATTTTATTGATAAGTGGTTATTAAAATTTGGCCGAGCAAAATATTAACCCAATCCTCAAAATAATTAGTGAGATGATGGATGGCAAGTTTGACTCCCATTTCCGGCTAAATCTCAAAGGCTTAGGCAAAAATGGGGCTAAAAAAAAAGTTGTTATTATTTACCTTTGACGAAAACTTTGAATAAAGATTGTTCCGTTCCATTCCTATTCTCGATCTTGCACAGGTATTGACCGTCATCTCTTTCGCGAGCTTTACGAATTTGTAAGGTTACCGAATTTTCGAAATCGTCTATGTACATCCTGTTTAAATATTATATTTATAACGATAATGTGCGCGTATAATAGGGAAGCAATAAGTGGGTTAGGTACCTAGTGTCGTTTAAACGGCGGCTCGTTTTGAGCCGATTTTTTTAAAAAACGGCTAAATTCAATATTTTGGCCAGAAAAATATGATGCCTTTACGTCTTAGAGCATTCGCTAATAGATGCCTAGACATTGGGTGTCATCTATGAGCAAAATCTTATGCGCTTGCGTGATATTACTCTGGATTAAATGCTGAGTTAGGCTCGAGTCGAGCCACCGTTTAGCAACACTAACAATAACCTTACAAAAAATTGCCTGACATTTATAAGGTAAGGGGGGTAATTTACATATAATTTCCGGTAAGATCAAATCGAAAGAAAGAAAGAAAGAAAGAAAGATATATAATATAGTAAAAAAAACTTACCAAAATCTGCCTCCTTGAAGAATCTCGCGCTCTCCTTTATACCACCTGACTTTTGGAGCGGGATTGCCAGCGATTATAGCCGTAATCTCAGCAGTATCACCTTGAATAACGATAAATTTGATATATTATAGATTATCTTTTTTGAGTATAAAACTTGGCTTTATAGATACGTCAATCAATTCAGAGTTCTATAGAGTTATGTTCAAGTTCCATATTTGTTAATAATAGTGTATTGAAATTTTCTTAATAAAATTTCTTTCAATAAATTAGAGTAAAATATTATCCTAAAACGCTGTATTTAGGATCTTGAATATTTTTGAAAAAAAAACTAATATTACCATCTAGAATCAAAACATTGTTTGGGGCTTGAACAAATGAAGGCGGGGTACCAGGACCCGGGGTCGCTTTCAACTTTTTGGTTTTATCTGGCTCGCCAAAAAATCTGTAAATTTATAAAAACGTATATTTATAATTTATAAAAATTTAAAATCAATATCGATTGGAGGAGAATGAATTAGAATATCCTATAAGATCAGAACCTCGACCTAAGCCACGATTATTTTACCCAATACTCCCTCTTCCGACCCCCTAAATTGCGAAATCATGATTCTTACCATTCCCTCAAGCTCAATGAGAGCCCTGGGTCGTAATCCTCCGGCCCAACCTATATGGTTTATATTTTTCGATTATTCAGTTGTAAAAAAAAAATTAAATATTCTTCTCATGGAATTCTGGGGGCTAATTTATAAAATATAAAAAAAATTTTGTTTTTTTAAAACAAATTTAAATATACAATTTTTTTAAAAAAAAAACAATGAATATTTTTATCTCTAACCAATATTATATTTGTTATTTAAGCGTTTTCTGAGTGTTTTAGCAATTTTTTTTAAAACTCAAATCAATGAATAGCGCGCGCATTTTTAAAAAGGCGCCAACATTGCCGGAAATAGCACTTGAAACAGAATACCTAACCTCTGAATTCCCCACTATTTAGTAAGGAACCTTTGAAATATTCTAAATTCATATATATATATCGATTTTTCAATCAAAATTAAAATGTATACACAAAAGTTTCATGGGCGGAATCGTGTGAAATATACAGGAGAGGTTGTACGTATGCGTAATACGATTCCGGAAAAATGAGGCAAAATGAATGCGCAGCATAAATGATATATATAGATTGGCTAAAAAAAACAGAGATGACTGAAGCATGCCCCTAAAATTTATTAAACTCTATGATTGGCCCGTTTAGCCCCCACCAAAATTTGAAATATATTTGCCGCCAAAAAGAACGGAACGAGCTTATATTTATTTAAAAAAAATTATTTCTTTATCTCATAAAATATTGTATATTTTATGAGTTTATGGTTAAAAATATATTTAAAAATACGTCAAAATTCAAATATTTTAAAAAAAATTGGCTTTAGAAGGGGCTAAAAAATTTTTCATTGGATGAATAGGCTGGTGGGTAAATTTGAAAAAAAAACAAAGAGCGGACCTGCGAGTGGGCTTTCGGTTTAATAAGCCCATTGCAGACCTATTTCTTTTATAACCCATTTAATAATGAAAATTCATAGAATCTAGTTTTAAAAAAATCCTGAGAAATGAATTCCTATTAGAGATCAGCGCAGCTGAACACTGTCCGAACCGGCCCGTTTAAGATTCTGAAGGCGTACAAAAAATTTTCGCGATTCCGGGCAAAACCGGGTTGTGTAAAAATATTTTGCCCAAGTTTTTCGACCCGAACCGCAAATTATTTAGCCTTTGATTAATTTCATATTTCTCGAAGAATATGGGAGAACCATTCCATGTCAAATCGATCAAAAAATGGCATATTTTCGGCCGATTCCTTCGTAAAAATTGTTAATAATTTTATGGAATTTGTTTAGATAAGTATAAAAAAAAAAAAATTAGAAAGCCGTTTATTTTAGCTCGCTAGCTTATCTGGTTCCAGAGATACAGGGCTTCAAAGGTGCGAAAAATCGGTAAAATCTTTTAAAAGGCTAATATCTCAAAAACTGTTTATAATAAATAAAAAAAATAAGGCGCCAATTTGAGTCTTTAACTTCCGGTTTATCTATATTGCTTTACCCGCGTTTTTATGCAACATAGGGAGTTGGTTTACAAAAATTATATTTCAGACACTTTTTATAATATATACGATGCCACAAACCTGTTGACGCAATCGGCTCATTCCAAATAAGCATATTTTACCAAAAAAAATTGAAGAGTTTTTTATTTGCGTGCAATAGATGACGCTAAATGAAAATACAAGTTATGGTTTTAAAGTTTTTGTTGCTTAAATTACCAATAATCAATCCCCTTTTTCAAAATTGTTAAAAAAATTGCTGTAATTATCTTAGGGTCGGCACTAAAAAAATAATAAGAAAAGCCGTTTATTTTAGCTCCCTAAGCACACCTCGCTCCCAAGATGCAGAGACTCGAAGGAGATAAAAATGAAAAATGTCGCACCCGTAAGATTTTAAAATGTTCGTAATTCCAAAAACTTTTTGAGGCATGAAATTCTATTAAAAATGAATTTTGAATGAAGAACAATATATAATCGTTTTTAGCAGATTTTGCTGAAAGTTATATGCCTTTGTAGTTCCAATCCAAGATGGAGTTACAAAGTTATGCCATTGCGGTTCCAAAGATGGAGTTACAAGGATTATATTGGAATAAAGTGCAAGTTATTGGAGTCCTTACTACTGATAGCTAATCCATACAGTTACCACGTGATTATTAACAAGATACCTTTAAAAAATGTAAATATTTAAGTTAAGTATATATATCGGAATCTCTTATTCGTAGAACAATCGCCATTCATTAATGCCTAAAATATTTAGTCCGCTACTCAACAGATGAATTTAAAGCCAACCAATAAAAATGTTTCTACTTTTCAGATGGAGCAGCATCCCAAATAGCCATTTACGAAAATGATTTCCTAATAAAAAGCTGAGTGGCATTTCTGGACCCCAATTCCCATAGATAGGAACCTGTTGGAGTTCTGATGAGGTAACGTAGTAACCAAGGGTTTAGTTTACAAAAAACAAACCTGTTTCAAAACAAATAACTTGCCATAAAAGAGTTTACTTTACCTATACTAAAGGAAAAATATTGAAAGGAGCATAAGATGATCTCTAATTTATTAATATATTAATTATTTTTATTTAAGGAATAGATGACAATCCAGTGGGTCAACATTAATTAAAACACAATATTAAGAATGTCTAAGGGGAATTTGGACACACAGCCCCTCAGCTTATTTACTATGTTTAATAGAAATTCGAAAATATTTTAATATAAAAAAAAATCAAAATATCCTGTTATATATTGGTAAAATAGTAAAAACAACATTTTTTAACAATGATGTTAGTTTCTTATAAGCTGAAAATATAATATTCAATTTTTGGCAAAAATGCAAGGTTATAAAAATTCCTTTATTGCTTAAAAAAACAGAAGGAATATAGGTAAACCGGAAGTTAAAGACCCAAATTGGCGCCTATTTTTTTAAATATTATTATTATAGACAACAATTTGATATATTATTAGATTAATTTTTACTTATAAATAGTCTTTGAGATATAAGCATTTTAAAGACTTTTACAGATTAGAAATTCACTAATTTTTCGTGCCTAAGAAGATCTGTATCTCGGGAATTAAATGTGCTAGCGAGCTAAAATAAACGGATTTCTCATTTTCTTTTATACCTATCTAAATAATTCCAAAAAATTTTAACAATCGGCCGAATGGTGAACGATTTGACATGGAATGGCCCCATAAGGTTATACTAAAATAAAAATTTGACCCATTTAGAATTTAAAAAAAAACCTTTGTTTCGTTTGTTCTAAGGTCTTTTGGGGTTTGGTACCAGGAGCTGCCGAAGACCGTCTTTCTCCGGGTCTTAATGAAGGAGCCAGGAATGATTCCCCCATGGCCAGTGAGGAGGTTCCTGATATGGAAGTAGTACCGGTTAACGTGGGTTTTCTAAACATCTTCTTTTCGAGCTCGACGAGCGAAGGGCGCCGTTCCACGTTTATGAGGGGAGGAAGAGGGGAAGGGGCAGTTTCCCCTTGTTGGTTCATAGTTGAGCTTTTACGGGAAAGTGGAGGAGTAGAGGGTTGCCCGATAGACTTTCTTAGCATGTGAGGACCTGGTAACTGTTTATTAGGGGTTGGAGATGGTTCCTTGATAGGAGACAGAGAATAGGCAGAGCTAGGAGAGCCTGGCGAAGTATCCGGTTGGGCGGAAAGTGTAGCGGTAGTTATGGTGGAAGTGGAAGTCACTATGGGTGTTTTTTGAGGAATTTGCAAGGATTTTCTAGTACTGTCTGTAGTAGAAGTAACCGTGGTGACCGATGTGGTAGTTAAAGCTTTGGTGGCTGTGGTAGCTGCCACGTGAAAAGTGGAACTCGTCGTTGCTATTGGTTGGGTCGTGGGAATATTTTGCGATGATTTTCTGTCAACTTGCTTGACCTCTACTGCGCTAGGGCGTTTCAGTGGGGCTGAGGCGGTAGAAGGAGTACCGATGCTTGAAATGCTGGCAACATTTATAGAGCCCGTCTCTACGGGTTTAGTCGTGGCTATCAGTGTGGGTTTAACTTGTTTGGAAGAGTCAAGTGATGATTCCATGGTGAGCGTGGGAGAAGGAATTTCACGAGTTTCAACGAGAGTCGAAAAGGATACTCGGGGTTTCTTAATGATCCCTGCAGTGTCTAACGAAGCGCGACTATCTTTATCCTTAGAAGATGGTTGACTAGTAGAAGGTATGGCCATCGGGGTAGGACTAACGGTGGTAGTTGTAATAGTGGGTGTTATCGATTCATTACCTTTAGTTTTGGATGGCACAATAGTCGGCTTTCCAACGACGCTACTCCTAGGCGTTTGATCACCCCCACTTTCTATTTTGGGCTTTTTAGTGGTATCCTCAGCGGGCTCGGGGGTTACCGAAGTCGTTAATTTGGTCCGCTTCAACATGTGAGGACCGGGAAGCTGGCGGTCAGCTTTTTTTAATACGGGCATATCGGATTCGTCGAATTCAGTGATTTCCGTATCCTTTATGATAGAATCTTTATGGGATGAAAGTTTACGATCCTTTGGTTCGTGTTCATATATCTCGGTAGTTTTCCTTGGGGAAGAAACATCTAGTTCATCTGTTTTACTAGGTTTCTACATTTCAAAAAAAAATAAAAAATAAAATAAATATTATATTTTAAAAACCGAACCCATAAAAGAAATTTTTTTTTATCTATTTCCTGTTTTTCCTTTATACATTATAATAACGAAAAAAAACAACTTTTGCTTCATATTATCATCTCACAATATGGGATCAATTAGTGAGTAAAATTGGCATTTCTTATTACTACTTAAAGGTCAAATTTTAAGATAGGTTTTTTCTTAAATTAATTATTATTATTAATATTATCAATTTTTTTAAAAAATAAATTAAGAATTGATAATTGGTATGTTAAGACCGCTTCAAGGTTATAAAAAAATAATGAATAGTATTATTTATAATAAATTAAAATCATATTAAAAATGATATATATACAAAATTTTTTATATTTTTTAGAAGTTTTATATATAGCATTTTTTTAAAAAAGATGGTTTTAAAAATAGTAAAACTTAGATTAGCAATTTAAAAATATATTCGATAAATAAAATAAAGAATACATAATATTTATAATAAATATATAAGAAAAAAATTTAAAAAAAAAAAAAACTTTAGCAATATGTTGATCAGCTGATTCGGATGGGATGGATCTTTTTTGCGGTGTTAGGTGACTTTTATCTTCTTTTTTTGTTAGAAAAAAAAATAAAAAATAATTTTTATAAATGAAGATGAAAATAATATTTATAAATGAAGATGAAAATGATAGGAAAAAAAGGTATAGTGTTGTTAAAGTAACTAGTTACATATTTTTTACAAAAATGTAACTGTAAAGCGTTACACGATATATCTACTAATTACTTGAATTAAATTTGAGGGATAATTGTTTACCTCTCACTTTTAAAATGTCCCCTCCCACGTTTAAAATGGTCAAAAAAAGTGTTGCAATTATAAAAGATAGCAAAGTTAAAACTGTGGCGTTTTTCGTGCGTATCTTTTAACGCTCAATTTTTTGACGTATGCACGAACGGCCCTCTACGGCAAACGCTATTCCCAAAAAAATTTTAAGGTTTTTAAGATAAAGCTCATCATTGAATGGATTTATTTAACCCTGTTTCATTGACTGGGCACGGACCGAAGGCCCGCAAAATAGGGGGTACCTTTCGACCTCAATAACTTTTAAGCAGTAAGCATATCATAATTAATCCTTTCTTCCTCTTTTTCCTTGTGTGTATGTGTGTGTAAAAAAAAATTATTTTTATTTTTATATTTGCGGCGCGTTAAAAATTAGGTTTTCCGCGAGGTATAAATTTTCTATTTTCAAAATTATTAATTAAATATTTTTATTTTAAATTTTTCCTAATTAATATATACTCTTAAATTATTTTTGATATGTATGTATATAGCGTATTTTTAATTTACCATAATTTATTTTTATTATATTGATTTCCAGTATTTTTTGTTTGTTTGTTAGTTGTTTTTTTTTTTTCATTTTTCAATTGTATTTTAAATATCTTCATTTTATTTCTTTATTTTTTTTTAGCCAAATTTTATGAATGAATATATTGATTATTTCCATTCCATCTAAAGCATCTTCAATTGAATCCTCATCCGGTGATCTTAATTCGGAATCAATTAAACAAAAATCTTTAAATAAAAATTAAGGGAAAAGGGGGGGGGGGCTAATGAATCAAGTTTCGAGGAGAAATCCTTTTCCTAATCTCAATCTTTACGAAACATTCGGTTTAATAAGGATCATTAGATGCTGGTGCATCATACCCCAACCGACATCTATATCAAATTTATAAAACGTACCTTTATGCGGATATTCTTTCATATGCAGTATAACTAATTTGTGAGTCTAAATATAAAAAAAAAAATTATTAAAAATCTCTTAGTTAGGCGAGGGGAGGGGGGGGGTAAACTCTTCTGGGGTTATTTGGACCGAAAAGATCGCCAATTAAATAAATAATAATTGGAGTTATTAGGCCTGAGTTCTATGTTAAATAGGTTTTCATTATAAATTTCAAAGCCGCGTGCAAAAAAAATGTTTCAACGTCCATTTTGAATTAATCTATTTCATATTTATAATGTGTTGCCCAACATATTAATTTGTGACGACAGGGTGATCTTAGGAAATATGTTTAATTTTAAATTTAGAAAAATATACATATATTCCTGAAGTAATTCTCTTCTTAGAAATTCTGTAATTTTGAGAGCAAAATTTTGAGGATCTGAGATTTACCAAATATCGATAGAAAAATGTGTTTAATTTTGACGGAAAAACTTTTCTTTTGCTAAGGAGTCGTCAAAAACCCACCAAAAACTCCTAAAATAATTCTTAAGACTCTCTCTAGACTTAAAAAGCAGCCCGATTATTAAGATTCTAACCAAAATAACATACTTAAGCCTAAGGATTTTGCTTCAAACTGGCAGAAATGCTTGGACATGCCAAATCTCGATACTCACATAATATCATTTTAGCTAAAATCATAAATCCGGCTTTTCTGAAAAAATCGACATAAAGATCGAACTTTCTAGTAACGCCACTCTAAACTTCCTTAAACAAATGGGCGCTTAATTTTTCCCGGTTACTCTCTTAGAGGTTTAAACTGAGGGGGTAACATTTATGTTCCCTCCTATACTCCTTGTACGCAGTATACTCTCATTTTAAAAAATTGAACGCGCGGTTCTTTTTAACCATAAGCGAGCGTGCGGGCGGGAGGGTTAAACCCGCCTATCGCAGACTTCTAGTACTCTCCCCACTCGAGGTTTGGTCATAATGGCGCGACTTGCAGCTCCTTACCCCCCCCCCTCTCCTCACTGGTGTTAGAGAACAATGATTGAAATTCTGTTTTCTATCTTCTTATAATATTTATTAAATTTGTCATATTATTAATTATTTTTTTTTTAAAAAATATAATTATTAATTAAAACTTAATTTTAAAAATCAACATTTATAAAGAGGAGAATAATAGAGAGAGAGTTTCTCGTTCAAGGCTTTTTTTCCAATAAATTTCAACATTCTTTATTATAATAAAATAAATAAATATCGAAAATATTTATCACAATTTTTTTCTATTTTTTTGCAGTGATTTTTCATAAACTTTTCTTTTTTTAAAAACATTTTTTTTTGATTGAAGTAAATTTTTTTCTATTTTTTGCAGTGATTTTTCATAAACTTTTCTTTTTTTAAAAACATTTTTTTTTGATTGAAGTAAATTTTTTTTCTATTTTTCAAGCCTGCTAAAATCTTAAAATCCAAGAGATTTAATTGTTATAATTTTAAACAGAGGCGAAAAATTATTTCAAACTTTTTTGTAATATTTTAAAATCATTTTTTTTTGTGTGTGTTTTTATATTTTTTTAAAAAAAAAATTTTAAGTTATAATAATTATGAATAATAGTGATTTCTTTTCTTGCGAATTTAAAATTTTTTTTTGTCCTCTTCCTTAACCCTGACTGTGACATTTTGTGATTTAATTAATTGGTCACGTGATTGATTGATTTATGGAATTCTAATTGGTTCCAGCCACCTTTTTTTTAAAAAAAAATATATAATAGAAAAACTGCAACGGGGGGGGGGCCTCTTCCCACAACCCGCCTGGTCGAAATTTTTTAACGTTTTTATAGGTCCGCCCAAACAGGAAAGAGCAGGGGTGGGAGGCAGAAGACAACGGTTAACTGGGGTCACCATTATTATATCTATTTCATAGCGCGCATAAAATTGAACGTTTCAAGGCTGCGTTTCAAAACGCAAATTTAAAAAAAAACGTATAAAAACGCAGCTATGTTTTAAATAACAGTTCTAAATTTAAAGCAAAATAGCATTAAAAAAGAATGCTGTCCAATTTTAATACGAACGCATTCAAAATGTATTATTTGCGTTTTGAAGAAAAAAAACGCTAAAATTAAGAGTTCCTCCTTCTATTTTATAAAAAAAAATATATTTAAGATTAAAGTAAAATTGAGAAAGGTAGGGGGGTTGGGGTAAAATGACCACAAAATTTATTTTGGCCCTGGTTCGAATACGAACGCATTTAAAATGTATTATTTGCGTTTTGAAAAAAACGCTAAAATTAAGAGTTCCTCCTCTATTTTATAAAAAAAAAAATATTTAAGATTAAAGCAAAATTGATAAAAGTAGGGGGGGTCGGGGTAAAATGACCACAAAATTTATTTTGGCCCTGGTTCGAATACGAGCATTTAAAATGTATTATTTGCGTTTTGAAAAAAAACGCTAAAATTAAGAGTTCTAAGATTAAAGTAAAATTGAGGAAGGTAGGGGGGGGGTCGGGGTAAAATGGCCACAAAATTTATTTTGGCCCTGGTTCGAATACGAACGCATTTAAAATGTATTATTTGCGTTTTGAAAAAAACGCTAAAATTAAGAGTTCCTCCTCTATTTTATAAAAAAAAAATATTTAAGATTAAAGCAAAATTGAGAAAAGTAGGGGGGTCGGGGTAAGAATGACCACAAAATTCTTTTGTCCCCGGTTCGCCATAAATCTTGGCAAGGTTTTTTGTGCTTTTGTTTTTTGTCACTTTACCCGGTATAAATTTATCGAAGTAAGGTATAGAAGATCAGCATAGCATAGCCATGGGTTCGCCAGAAACACCAATTCCCTAAAAAATATTAAATAAAATTAAAGGGAAGGGAGGGGGGGGGGGGGTAGAAAATGAAAATGTTAACCGCCCTCACCCCCCCCCTACCCAGACTTTTTTGGTTTGCTTAAAAAACAAATTACGTTAAAAATAAAAAAAATATTAAAATAATTTTTAAATTTTTAACTTATTTAATAATTTATAAAAATATTATCATTTAATGATTTTCGATTTAAAATTTTAATTTAATTTTATTATTTTTTTTTTAAAAAAATAAATAAAATAAAATAAAATAAAAATTATTTTTGACTTTACATCTGTCCCCCTCTTTCCCTTGTGGAAGGAAAGTTATATTTTAAAAAAAAAAATAAATAAATTGTTCGAATAATAAATTTTATAAATAAATGATCTAGTTTGTAGCCTTCTGAATCTAAAAATGGTTAATGTTGTTTGTGGCTTGTGGCTTGTCGATTGTCGAGTTTATATTTTTTTTTAAAAAAAAGAAAAGAAAAGGAAAGAAAAGCAAAAAGAACAAAATATTTAAAGGTCAATTCAATCTATTTGTTAAATAAAATATCTTTTTATAAAAAAATAAAATCAAAATATAATAATTTATTATAAAACAAAAAAAAAACTAATAGGATTGACTTTAAGATAAAATCAAAAAGCAATTACTTCCCTTTTTTTTTAGAGATATTAGCGCGGTAAGGAATAGGGAGGGGTAGAGGAGTACAAAAAAACCCCCCAAAACAGTATGGCCACGTGACTTAGCTCGAATTGATTGGCACGGCCCGGCCCGTATTTTTTTTTAAAAAAAATCTTATATTTATTTTTGATTTTTATAGCTAATAATGGGCGATTCAAAAACATTCGGTTTTAAAATATAAGCGGCCAGGGTATTTCATAAAACCGAATTTTAGGCTAGGCCCGACCCGGGTTTAATGACCCGGCCCGTTAACCGACCCGGGTATAATGAGCCGGCCCGTTACCCGAACCGGGCCTGCAGATCTTTTGCTTTAAAACTGCCATAAAATTTACAATAAAAAAAACGATCATCTTCATATGGTCATTCGTGACCC